ATAAATTCTATATTAACAACCTCGTGTCTGCTTATTGATGAAAAACATTGAATTATCAATTAATGCCGAGGTTAACAGAACGTCGGTCATGGGAACATCAAGAGAGTCAGCCTTCTTAAGTCTCCCGTCAATCTATTAATATATGCTATCACGTTCCTTGTGCTTAATTTTCAATCTGGAGATGCTGTGATCGACCATTTTATTTTTAGTATGTTTGCCCGCCGCTATGATAACAATAACTTATGTGTGTCTTCCGCCTGTACAGAGGTCCGCAAGCTTAAACTGGGCTGTTTCAAAACTAGACGTCCTTCTTGTGAGGTGTACCCAAAAAGCACAGTTCACCTGCACTGAGTGCGACTTATATGGTGACTATCGCTAGAATCACATTCTTGGGACATTATGCAAATTTTATTCTGAAGCAGTTGTTTTTTTCTCAAACTATTTTTTTACATCTTCACATCTAGTTATAATGAGGAGTTTCCACCAATTTCCACTCACTCATATGCCATGAAATTCATTTCATGAACTTTTTCTTATAGGTAGCATGACTATCACATTGAGCTTGTCGCTAGGCGATCAGGTGATTATGTGGAGATGTCTCCTAATGTGGTTTCGATCAGGCAAACTGCAGCGGTAGCATCTCATATTGCATGGGAATTCGATAACAATCGAGAATCATTTACAATAAAAGGAGATAAGCTGCCCAAAATTTAATGAAAAAAACTCGTGTAGTATCGCATAGGTGATTGAACGCAAACTTGGTTTATCAAACGCCTTGTTGTGGACTATCGATGCTTTTATCCTTCTAACTAGGTTTAGTACCAACTAGACAACCCCAAGAGATGACCGTCTCGGTTTTCCAGAGGCACTAGCTAGCCAATGACAACGTGTGTCATGGGGCACCTCTAATTACAACATGTCCCCTTTCCACGCTAGAGCAGATAGTTTAGTCCTTAGGGCATGGCAACGGTTCGGAAAGCAGGTGTTATAAGCCACTTGCCAGTTAAAGGAACACGTTGCTTCGCATATTTATCGTATTGGTAGTATTTCGAATTGTTATCATTCGAAGCAGAATCTTTGTTGTCGTAACCTAGATTTTTAGTGCAAACTTTCAATGCAGAGAGAAGCCATGACCGTAGCATACGAGGGAGACATTTTTACGAGATTCTTTTCATATAAAGAACACATAATTCAATTATGAACGACTCCCGATGAGCCCTTGAAGATTTTGCCGTTTTCGAAAAATTGCAAAACCTTTTTTCAGACACTCCAAGGTGCGATCTGTTTCCAGCACCTCTACTTCTCTTACCCTGTCATCCGCAAAAATATGGTGCTAAATGGCATCAATTTGAAGGTCATTGCAAATTCATCTGAATGTGAAGTAGAAATGATCGACGAATGAATTTAGATTCCACCAGGAAAAACAGTGGCGCTCGTCGGTCCAAGTGGTTGCGGCAAAAGTACCTCTATCCAACTGATCGAGAGATTCTATGATCCAGTTGCTGGTAAAGTGGTGAGTTAAGACTACTTAGAAAATTGAACGACGCATGTCAACCTGATGAACGTCACTTGTAACCTGCGTGTAACCTATCAGGGCGGTGGAATCTGTCTGGATCCGTCTGCTGCATAGACTAGACTATAGAAAAGCTAAGAGTGCTTCTTGTCGATCTGTTACTTCGTTTCTCACTGGCTTGTTGAATGTTGACTGAGCGTGGTTTTTGCAGGGGGTGCGAAATGTTCTTGCTAAAATATTTCCACCACTTTAGCATATGCAGTCGCCGGCTATTGTTGATCGCTTGGAAATTAAGATTCTTCTAGGATGAATGCAATCCGTACTAATATTTGACCGAGGATGTAGGAAACCGCAACATCGAAGAAGATTATTGAAATATTACTGAAGATTATCATGGATTCACAACTCCTACCCAATATTTCGATACAAAGACTATGTACTGCCTTAACTCTTTTATTTACTGCCTTTTTCTTCTTAATGGCAGGGTATGTTGTGAAATATAACTCGTATGAAGTGCTGAGATACCTGCAAGACAACGGACCACAGGTGTATGCAGTGGGGAACGAACGCGCGCTGTTGTCCTTACCGGAGAGCAGCGCACTTCACCACTACACCATCCGGGTCCGGGAGTGCTGAAGTGCGCTGCTCCCCAGTAAGGACAACAGCGCGTGTTCGTTCCCCACTGCATACACCTGTGGTCCGGAGTTTTGCAAATATCTCAGCACTTCATACGACTATGTACTGCGTTATTCGCCCATTTAGAAAATTGATCTCGTCCTCCTAATCCACAACTAGGTAATTTCTCAAGAATATTCATGCTATTCCGTACGACGAATGCAATGTAGCAAACCACGAATTGAAAGGAACTTCGATTCCTCAAGCATAATTAGTATTTTACCCCAATATTGAATTATTAATTAAATTATTAAGAATTATTATTAGTAACGCGTTAGCCCCCGGAAAGGAAGTAGCGCGATCGTTCCGCCACCGTAAACACCTCTGGTCCGAAATCTTGCAAAATATCTCGGCATCATTATGGTTGAATTATTAGTGTCTGAAGTATAGAAATAATAATCAGAATCATTTTCGTAGTTGTTCGACGAAGAAGACTCCCGTCTGCTTAACTTGAAACATCTTCGGTCCCAAATTTCTGTTGTAGGACAGGAGCCTGTGCTTTTCAACTACTCGATCAGGTGCACTCCGCAATTTAAATTATGTTTTTGATTTCAATGTTTCCGCTCTTCGGTTCCATTTCATCTTATCGTCTCTAACTTCCTTTGTAATTTATTTTAGAGAGAACATCGCTTATGGAATGGAGAATGCCACTGCCTCCGAAATTGAGGAAGCGGCAAAGTTGGCAAACGCTCACGATTTCATAGCTAAATTACCTAAAGTATGTACTGTTGTCTCTGGTTGAAAAGAGAGTATAGCAGAAAACTTTTCGATCTTGGTTAAAATTTCGTGGACTTTCTTCACGTTCTTTTTTATTTCGGTAAGCTTAAGGCTATCAAGAACGTCGCAATCTTAGCGTCTTCAGAAAATTTCGACTTTGCTTTCCGATACAGCATGCCAAATAAAATCTGCATGGATACGAAGTTACGAAGGAATTGGTGACGCTACCGGAGCAAAGTTCACCGAATTACATAAAGCATTACATTTCGAAGGCTAGTGCTGTAGTAGGGTGGTGCGTGTGGCACAGTGGTCCAAAGCGCCCTGTGACACACAAGTTGCATCGATCCCCACGCCCATGGCCCACCAAGCCTTCCATCCCTCCGACACCGGCAAATTGGTACCAGACTTGTCTGGGAAGATGACAGCACTGGTTCTATACATCGGTAAGCTACTTGCGAGTCGAATCATTGTAAAGGCCAGATATGCATTCAATCACTTCCAAACGATGCTTAATGAAGTCAAATGCATGGCGCATTCCTCAGGGATTGATCAACGCGGAGAGGTTTATCCTTTATTATTACCTTTCGAAGGCAGTTATGAAAAGACTTTGCTTTCTGATTGTGTTACACCTTCTTCCTTAGATTGGAGGAAATTTGCTTGTATTTTGCTTGACTTTGGATGGTAAAGTATTTTAGGGATACGATACTGTCGTTGGTGAGGGAGGCAGCATGCTATCAGGTGGGCAAAAGCAGCGCGTCGCAATTGCCCGCGCTGTGATCAGAAATCCTAAGATTCTTCTGCTAGACGAGGCCACCAGTGCTCTGGACACGGAAAGCGAAAAAGTTTGAATCCATATTCTATGAGAGAAACTCTAAGTAAACCCTTAAATTAATCCCTGTTCATAACAGGTCGTACAAGAAGCTCTGGAGAGAGCGAGAAAAGGAAGAACGTGTGTGATGGTCGCCCATCGTCTGTCATCCATTCAAAATGCGGATCTGATTGTGGTTATCAAAGACGGAAAAATCGAGGTAGACATGGATATAAATGAGTTCATGGATTATGCGAATGAGGAGGAGATAGCCGATTTCGATGTTCTCCAATAATTGTAGCCGTTCAAAAGTCATTGTATTCTCAGCAACCGTGTTCAAAGAGATTTCATCAACATTATTTTCCTGAACATCGAGATTCGCTAACGAAGGCCCTGCTACTCATTCACTTTTTTGAGTAAACAACATCAACACTGAATTCTCTGACACATTCTCTTTGATAACATTCGGAACTGGAAATCTATCAACTGACGTCGCCGACGGCCCTGAAAAAGACAGAGCTTTTAAAAAATTGAAGAAACCCTTAAGCAAATAGTTTAAATAGTTAAAAGAATAGTGCACAAACACGAACAAAGGCAACGACCATTTTCGCTACGTATTTATCCCGTGGTCCTGTGCATTTCGCAGTAAATTCGAAATCAGCCTTTAGCTTCCGATTAGCCCATCACTCACATCCTCAGCTTGTTGGTCGTTGACCGTGGGAAGACGTCGAAAAAATAAAAAGGTAAAGAAGACTGATATTCATGCTACGGCTTCAAACCTGTTTGAATTCTTTTTGAAATTTTCTCGTCTGTTCTTTTTCCTCCCAAGCTAGCAATTTCAGGAGCATGGAACACATCAGCAACTACTGGCGAACGGTGGTTTATATTCAAGATTAGTTAGTAAACAGGACCTTAAGTAGGATACAAGTCGTACTCTTTCATGATTTGATTTCGTAATTGTATCGTTTCGTGCTCATCTTTTGTTCAAATTCAATGTGGCAGTTTAAATTTGTAATCGAGCTTATCGGCAATCTAAGTGGTCGACAAGAAATGCGGCAAAACGATAAGGGTCCCAGCGTCGCATTATTCGATGACTACTTCCTTTCCATGATCGTGTATTTTTTTAGTTGCCGCGAATGAGAGATTAAACCTACCAAATCGTCTTCAGTCGATCGACGTTAATAATCACTAGAATTGCCGACCTCCCAACGGTTTACCGCGTCATCATGGCTGGAAAGTGTTCCGGGAAGTCGGGCTGCAATGTACACTGGGGATTCATCCTCCAGCAGAGCTTCCCAAGCTGAGAAGGAGCCCGGTATTTCCATCGGAAAGCCCAGCTAAGAGTAAACCAATACCAGGATCCACCACCGTCCTGGTATCAAAGCCGCATGGTGACAAATCTCCCTTTGATCCACAAGAGCTGCGACTGCGTGTGGTGGTGAAGACCTGGGGCAGACTTGGGCTAGGCTGACACCCAGACTCCAGGGAACCACAATGACCTAACTAGCAATTCTCCGAACAATGGAGATTATGCTGGGGTCCGCACAATCAGTGAGGTCGGCCCATTTAAGTGTCAAGTGCCAAGAATTACTGCAGAATAAGAATGTTGGCCATAAAGCAGCAAACCTCTCACTGATGCTGAGGTGCCTACACTGCTTGCTTCGAGGACCTGCGAGTGATGCAGAACGGAGTACTAATTCATAAAGAGAGTAAACAGTAGTAGGTGAAAGTAGTGGAGGACTCGGATATAGCAGTAGATGGAGTGAAGACCACGGCAGTGAGAACTGAGATTTCCATGCCTACCACACTGGCACATCAAGCATCACGTACACAAATGATAGGGTTCATGAAGTTTAAATTGAGTACTAGTGCTATCTGCAGAGTCAATGAATACTCTTCCAATACTTTTGAAAGAACTCACTGTTATGAGACAACTGATTGTCGAATTACCTAAGCAGGAACAACAAGGGTATCTCCACTCCTCAGAGACTTTCGATTAATCTCGGCAATATTCAAAGAGGCAGTGCTTTCTTTCTGAATAGACACGAGATTGCCGATAGCAGGGTTCATTAATGCGTCGTCTTCTTATTCAGCAATCACGAGGTTGTTATACAGAGCATATGTTTGCTTCCGTGCAAAAAAACGCGTACAAAACAACAGTAGCCAACGTTTCGGCAGTATCACCTTCTTCAGAGGCTGGAAGGGTATACTGATACGCAATCTGCTACCCCAAACGCCTCAATAACACAAAAGATGAAAATCTATATGGCAACCACATGGTTAACAGATTCTCGAAAACACCCATCGCTTTTAACGTGCCTTCCACTCAGGAAGAGCCGCTGATTAGAGTCGCGTATCTCTGACTGACGCATGTCAGGCTTCGAAGAAGGCGAGACTGCCGAAACGTCAGCTACTGTTGTGTTGTATGGGTTTTTCGCACGAATTAAACGCATGCTGTATAACAACCTCGTGATTGCTGAATAAGAAAACGACGCATTTACAGTCCAATACCGATGTCAATGGAAAATCGATAATGAAAACTGTTACAAGGTTCGTTAAATACTAGGCAGCATTTCGGAGAGTTTCGCCCTCTTCAGAGCCTGGAAAGGTTAAACTGACACACAGTTTACTTAGCCAAACACTTTTATGACCCTAACAGATGAAGCATAATATATAGATCTTCAACCCCATAATAACTAGCTCTTTTAAATATTCACCGTCGTTGTTTATAGGTCTTCAGTTATTGTTAGAGATCACCCACACAAAGTCTCACATGGATGAAGAATGTGCCTTACTCAGGTCAAAAAATCAGCCTGAGATATGGCATTAGATCACGCGTGGTCAGGGGTCATCCTCCTTCCGGTTCACTTCTGGGTCCATATAATTAATCCAGACGGCTTCGATGGTTCCAGGCACTGAAGTATTAGATTCATGTGTGAGAATTCTTATTTTTAATATGTATTCTTCCTTCGATGAGCTTACACAAGGTTGATAAATATATTTATTTTCGACTATCGTTTCGACGTCTTCGTCTTGATCAGAGTCGATGACCCGTGTGGATGGTCCACGCTTGCTATTCGTCTCGATGTGGCGACTTCGCCTTCTTGACGAGTCAGGTCTTCCTTAGCGGTCCATCTCGAATAAGGCATACTGACTCGATGATGCCCTTTAATGCAGGATGCTGATGATGGATATAATGATAATGTCCGGTAATAACAATTTGTTTTCCAACCGGACAATCCGTCCTGCAGAATTACTTACCTACCTGATACTTGAACGGCCCGTCCTCACAGGCTGTGCGAGCCCCAGTATAATCACCATTTTTCGGAGATTTTCAGGTTAAGCCATTGTGGTTCCCTGGAATCCCGAGGACAGCTTGGCCAAAGTCTGCCCCAGCTCTTCACCACCACAGGCAGTCGCAACCCTTGTGGACAAGAGGGAAATTTACCACCATGCGACTCTGATACCAGAACAGTGGTGGATCCTAGTACTGGTTTACTCTTAGCTAGGCTTCCTCATGGAAACGCCGGACTCCTTCACAGCTTGGGAGCCCCTGCCGGAAGGATGAATCACGCCGCTGTACATCGCAGTCCCACACCCAGGAACACCTCCCAGCCACGATGAGGCGGTAAATCGTTGAGAGGTCTTGCGGAATCATTATTTATTATTTTATTCTTATATCCTTATTCATATATCTTTTATATCCTACTTTTAAATTGGAATCTTCTCCGTTCTATCTCTATGTCTAGCACGTGCCCTGTGTAGTGTTTCGTTTTATTGCGAATAAAAGGTGTATGTTAACCCTGTGTAAGCTGAGCAATTAAAAAAATTATCAATTATTCACGCCAAGGTTAAATGATGACCTGTGTGAAAATTACAAAGGCGCACAATTCGTACTAACGGTAGAGAGGTGATTGTAGGAATGTAGGTGTACGATGAGCCCAATTTTTGCAAACTCTGTGAAAACGGACTGTATTGATGAAACAAGTAGGCTTCCCTGCATCCGTTTAAAAACGCATCTAGTAACCTCTCTTATGCTACATTTTTGTGTCTTTGTGAGGTTGGAGCGAAACTTCGTAGAGAAACGATTAAGAATTTCGGAAGGATCGTCTGCAAATACCGAAATTCGGTATCGAATTCATTGTTGGGACCTTGTTATTAAGAAGACCATTGAGGAAACGGCAGCAGTGGTAATGTCACCACTTTTTGTTGTTTACTCCAGTTTAATGATCCAAGTCTATCATGGTGATAAAGTCTATCCTAAGTTCATGTGAACCAAACGCGACCTTGCACACCGCTTATATGACTAATGTGTATAATGTTATACCTTTTTATTTCCTGCCTACTATAATTTCGCGGCAGAGTACTAAGCGAAATACAACCACAACGTTGCTGAGATATTTGCAAAACTCTGGACCGCAGGTGTCTATGGTGGGGAACGAACGCGCTATTTTCCTTTCCGGGGAGTAACGCGTTCACCACCACACCATGCGGGTCCTTTGTTTCGCCTGTCTCTCAGCTATTTCTATCGATCTTTGCCACAGCAATCACCCGTCAGCGGGATTGATCTGGGCCGCCCAAATCGGCATAGAACCCAGTTAAGCTGCGGCTGTAGTTGAAATCACAATGTCATACCTTTTTATTTTCTGCCTACTATAATTTCGCGGCGGGGTAAAGTTCGTTCCCCACCATAGACACCTGCGGTCCAGAGTTTTGCAAATATCTCAACAACGTTGTGGGAGTCTGTGTATAGTTTGCATTAACGGCAGAGAGGACAACTGACTTCGGGCACAGTTTATCCGATCTTTTGAAAGCGTCCGGGTAGGAATGGATTGACGAAACTGATAGGGCACCTTGCGTCCGCGAACACCTTGTCCGTAATCTTAGACTTAAACCACGCGCTCCACTAGAGGCGCATAGAACACAGAGATATAACGAGGAAAGTTTGAAGCAGAAGTTACCATCATCGCACAGGAATCGAAGGCTTCAGCGAATAAAACCATCGAGGCATTTTGGATAAATTCTAGTGATACATAGGTAAAAAGCAGGTAGGAACGCGTTATTACGCTTGATCGCACAAAATCTCACACTAATATTTTAACGTGAGAGTAGTGCAGCAGCCACTCATATGAATTCTGTGTGATTGGTTTCTACGTGGAATACTCGGTGGAAGACTCATAAAAACGGTGAGGGTGCGAAGAAGTGATTGATTGATTCGCATGCCATTGAAATTTAGGACTCGTGTATTTCCTGGCAGGTTTATGGACGAAAATGCCTATGTAGGTAGTTAGGCTGAGAAAATTGCAATCAACCTGGCTGCTCTGAAAAACATCGTGTCTGCCACAAAAAGGAAGCACAGTGGTCTCAATATGCATTTCTATCTCGAAAGACGTGCTCAGTTTCTTTCTCGAACAAAAGGTTTACGATCCTTAGTCGTAACGTGCTAAATTGACCGATGATGACAGTGGAATATTGGAAAACGGAAGAAAATGCACTGAGCGAGACGAATGTGTTTTCAGCTGGTGATGTTTCAGTGAAGCAGTAAGTATGACGAAACATGTGCTACAGAAAAGTACTCTACAAAGTCGAGCGCCTAAAACTCGGGTAACTAAACAGTTTACGCACATAATATTTACACGATAACGCAATTAGACAAAAATTTATGCACAATAAATTACAAGTAAAGTGGTTCAGTAGGTAGTAATCTAACTAAACAGAATACACTAACATTGATGTAGAGCAATACACAGCAGGACTATAAGAACATGAGAGATGATCTGGAAATATTGTTCATGTAACAATATTGCTATAACTACAACAGCGTAAGAATTTACATTACCACAATGCAGGAATTTTAAAGCGACAGCGAGTTGTATCAGCAATGAGAAAGATTTTGCGGAATGGAACACTTATGAGCAGTGTGGGCATCTGAGACAATTTCTATATTAGCAACACGTAGGACAGATGACAATTGATGGCAACACAAATATTATGATGATGTAAGAGCACAGAACTTTACATTATGTTTGCCTAAACATATGAATTTGCGTGGCAATGGTGAATTTCGTGGAGTACTTGTAACGAATGGAAGTATTTGGGAAAGTTACTAGATTAACAACTAGTAGTGCTTACATGAAAGACTGATGATAACCTTACCATGTTGATAAAGCAACAGCTGGAGAATTTAATAATATTACTTCCTAAGCTAACGTGTGGTGATATAAAATGATTACGTGGGAGGGCAAGATGATGAAAGGGTAATGGCGAACTCTAGGCGTCGTCAGCATGCAAATGGCCGCGCTAAGAGGAGTGGCTAGATCCAAGCGAGTGGCGTGCGTCGTAGGGTCAAGGCACGGATCGCGAGGTCTCTGAGTCATGCTTGGTGGTGTATCTGAAGGCTTGCAGCTGCCGTATCTCCTAGCGTGTACGATGGTTAGGATGGGATGTAAATGTAGGGCGCTGGTCACCATCAGAAGACGTATAGAGGAAAGTTACTATAGAGAATATTATTTCCTGTTAGATGCTTATTAGTCGACTTGTCGACAGATAGTCTCTGTGGTGGCTACTGTCTTCACCACCAATCGACTCTCGTCATGGAGGAATAACCACACACCAAAATCTGTTTTTTTGTAGATTAATAGGTGTGTAATGTAACAACTTTCTGTCGATACCTGATATAACATCTATGATCGATATGGTATTCATCGGATCATCGGCTAGGATCATCGGCTCTGAGGAAGATGAAAACGTGGAAACGTTAGCCCCTGGAAAGGGTAATAGCGCGTTCGTTCCCCACCGCAGACACCTGCGATCTCGGATTTGCAAAAATCTAAGCACCATTATGGTTGTCCCAGAAATGTTCGGTGCACCAAGAAAGACCAGGAAGAGAATGAGCGGAGAGCAACTCATACCTGTCAGTGATTTCTCCACGTGTAAATTCCCACGAATTAGAATGTGTAAGATTACACTAGTCACAAACATTTTCGTACTTGACACCACGAATTAGGACGGTTGATATATTACTCTAGATCACATTACTGTAACGGCCTAATGTGTGTGTCTTTACGTAAACGTGCAGAGAACTATGGATTTTGGCGGCTTAAACTGAGCTTAATTGTTTGTGCAGCTGTTGCTTCGTTGCGAGTTAGACTAGATATTCAATGACGGCTAACCAAGCACTGTATGAGATCGAAAGAAGCGGATCCTGGAAAGGCTTTGGGAGTGGTGCTCCATGTATCCTCGGTATCGATGAAGCTGGTCGAGGTTCGTCCCTACTTGCATTTGTTTTGTTTGTATTTGTCTTGCTTTGTTTCTGTGTCTGCACTTTAACATATTTGGTGAATATGGTGAGGTTTATGTCTTTTGATGAAGGTAATATGCCGCTATGACGATTTTTAGTAGAGATTAATGCACGGGAACTTTCAGTCTGCTGCAGTTCATAGTGGGTCTAGGTCTAGTCGAATGGGTAGCGTTCAGTTCCCAGTGGTAAAGTTTTGCATTGCAGTATACGATCAACTTACCTTTTATCTGCAGCACACACATGGGATCGATCCACGCGCTCCTGGCCCACCAAACCCTCCATCCCTCCAGAGTTGGCAGATTGGTACCAGACTTCTCTGGGAGGATAGCATCACTGGCTCGATACATCGCTAGGCCACCGTAGGTCGTTATAAAGACCAGAGATGCATTCAGTCACCTCCAACGATGGTCAGTGAAGTCGAATGCATGGCGCATCCCTCAGGGACTGATCAACGCCGAAAGTTTTATTTTTTTTACCTGTGGGGGTGGTTGTTTTGCTATAGGAGGTGCGGAAAAGGCTCTTAGTACTTGTACATGGTGTCTTTCGCGTTTCTGCGCACCGAGTTCGTCTAGCTGTCAACGTAAACCCTCCTCATTCCTTATTCACATTTCTTTTTCACGATCAATGGGTAAATGATCTGACTGTTTTTAGGGCCCGTTCTTGGACCGATGGTGTATGGATGTGCTGCTTCACCACTTGATTGTGAAAATGAACTGAAAGAGTTAGGAGTGGCTGATTCGAAAGCTTTAACCGAAACTAAACGAGAAGAAATCTTTACGGACATGTGCACAAACAAGTCTACTATGCAGGTCACTTTCTCCTCCTGAAACTGTGCGGAAAACATTTCTTTCACTTTTGAAGGAATATTGGTGTTTGTAGGAGTTTTGCTGACCAAGTTGTGTTGCCCACCCGTCTTCATCGCTTACTGTTCATGTTGTTCCTGTTCTAGATTGTGGCATATGCTGTTTGCTGCTTGTCGCCTCAGCACATTAGCACTTCAATGTTAAGACGGCGGAAATGCTCACTGAACGAGATATCGCATAGTGCGGCTATCAGCCTGATACGAGATGCCTTATCATCGGATATCAATGTAGTGGAGGTATCGTTTTCTGTACTCTGCTACGCAATAATGTTGTAATCTATACGTTCTTATGAGCTGATCTTGTTGAGCTGATGCGAGATTGGTATAGATTGTCGCTGTTGTTGTTGTTGTTGTTGTTGCCCGATGGCTCACGTTTCGGCGATTTCGGCTTCCTCATAGAGACTCCCACTCGGAACAGCACGGCTCTGAGGAAGGCGAAATCGTCGTGACCTCAGCCATCGACCAACAACGACAACTTATACCAACCTCGCATCAGCTCAACAAGATCAGTTCAAAAGGGCGTATACATTCGATTGTTAACCTTTTATTTTCTGCCTGCTATAATTTTTCACGGCAGGGTGTAATGTGAAATACAGCCACAACAATGCTAAGATATTCGCAAAACTTGGACACCGGGCTAGATCAGTCCCGCTGATGGGTGTTTGGTGATGGCAGTGTTAGGTAGAAAACTAGCTGAGAGAAACGCAAAGGAAGGGCCTCTGTGGAGCACTGTGTAATACGCGAACCCCTGGAAAGGTAATCGTGGTTCAATCTAGCCCGGGTTCCGAATTTTGCGAATAGCTCAAAATATATCAATTCGTGTCGAAGGCGAAAGTTGGTCTTTTGAGTTGTTAAGTTTTGTTATCGTTCACTTGTAAGTCGCCTCTCAGTTAAAGCACTGAAAAAATAGTTATGAACAACCTCAAGTAGCTTTGGCTAAACTAAGAATGACTGAAATTCAAACCACTGAAAGAAAGTGGAAGGGCCTACAGTTAGGCTTTATTTCTGCTACCTTCATAATCTTTTCAAATTTCAGATCAAAGTGGATACTGTTGGACCAAAGGCCACGTATCAATTAATGCTTGAAAAACTATTTCCTGGTATAGCTGTTACGGTAGTGATGTTTCGAATACGATTAGTTTTCATCTGTCTGCTGATTTTCCTATTTAAGGTGACCGAAAAGGCTGATGCTTTGTTCCCAATAGTTAGTGCTGCGTCTGTTGCAGCAAAAGTCACGCGTGATCATCTTCTTCGAACATGGAAATTCTCTGAGCATGGTGTGAATGTTCCCAGTGATGGTTATGGAAGTGGATATCCCGGAGGTGGTCACGTTTGAGGTCATTTTCGTAGTTCGTATTGCAGGAATTCTTTTAGCTGAGCATTAAGTTTTTTGTAGATCCAAGCACAAAGAAATTCTTAGTCGAAAGTCTCGATCCTGTGTTTGGGTACTCGTCGTTGGTGCGATTCTCATGGAAGACTGCCGAGATCCTGCTTGACAAGCACTGTGTAGATGCTCAGTGGTGGGTGGATCTTAAATGCCAATGTAATGTTTCGTCTGAAATGTGATTAAAAATGCACCCTTTCCATATGAATTGCTGAACTTATGTTGCGTGTGTGTCTCATTCTTAGGGTTTTTTGTAGTGTAAACTTCTTTGCCTATTTATTCATCTTTAATGACGGTTTGCTGATTTCTTATAAGTATAGTTTGTGCTTCCCAACGGTTTACCGTCTCGTCGTGGCTGGAAGGTGTTCCTGAGTGTCGGGCTGCGGTATATAGCGGAGCACTCATCTCTCCAGCATGGTCTCCCAAGCTGAGAGGGAGTCCGGCGTTTTCATCAGGAAGTTCAGCTAAGAGTAAACCAATATCAGGATCCATCACTGTCCTGGTACCAAAGTAGTCGCGTGGTAGAATTTTTTCTCTGATCCACAAGGGCGGCGACATTCTGTGTGTGGTGACGACCTGGGGCAACCTTTGGTCTGGCTGACCTCGGGACTCCAATGAACCACAATGGCTAAACCAGCTGTACTCCTAGGGGATGGAGGTTGTGCTGGGGTCCACAACCAATGTGGGCATGCCATCCAAGTATCCAAGTGTAACTTCAATGATGCTGAGATACTTGCAAAACTCCGGACAGCAGGTGTATGCGGTGGGGAACGAACGCGCTATTCCTTTCCGGGGACTAACGCGTTCACCACAAAACCATGCGGGTCCTTCGTTTCGTCTTTCTCTCAGCTAGTTCTATCGATCTTTTGCCATCAGCAGTCACCCGTTTCCCACCACATACATCTGCGGTTCGGAGTTTTGCAAACATCTCAGCATCATTTAAGTTATATTTCGCAATATACCCTGCCATCAAAAAGAGTAGGCAGTAAATAAAAGCAGTTAAAATTATCTAAGTATAGTTTGTGCAGTTTAAGGAATATGCTTACTTTCAAACATCTTCAAAAATCTCTTTATCATTCTCTCAGTTCTCTTGTATGCTACCATTTACACTTCATTCACTTCACAATATCGTTTCCCGCTAGAGTTAACGTCTTTAAAATTTACCATAAAGTTCCATAACGCTCCAACTTTCAGGGAGGATGACGAAGCCAAAGAAGTTTCAGTGAAAGAATGGCTTACATCACAAGGAAAATTGCCTAAACGACATCCATTTTATGCAGATAGAACCATCCAAAATGTTTCATTGTTTTAATGTTATGATTTGTTTTCAAGTATTATGTGCCACTTAAGGTCTGTATGCTAAATTTTGTACGTTATTCATTGAATTGTACCTCGAGAGCATAGCCAACATGTATTTTTCCAACTTAACTGGTATTAATGTTGTTTGAAGCCTGACTTGGCTTGATTTCTTTACGGTGTAAATTTGTAAGTTCCATGTTTCAATAGACTTCTCTCTTTCTTCTCAATACTGGTTCGGTCGGATTTATTCCGGATTTATTGTTTTTCTGCTCTAGTGTTACATATACTCATTTTTAAAACGTTTAGCTTTATTACAGATGGAGTTGAGGTCATGGCTCAGTTTGTCCACCCTTCTGAGTCTTTTGACGCTTTATTATATTGGACACATGGTGAACACATTCTCCAGGATTTTTTCCGTTCCACCTTGTGGTGACAAATATATGTGTGTAAAGGTAAACTGCCGTATGTTATTGTATTTTATTAGTTTGATACATATTATTGTATTCTTATGACGTCCTTCCAACGGTTTGCCGCCTCATAGTGGTTGGAAGGCGTTCTCCTGCGTCACATTGTGATGTATAGCGGGAGATTCGTCATCCCGGCAGGGCCTCCCAATCTGGGGAGTCCATCGTTTCCATCAGGAAGCCCAGTTAAGAGTAAACCAGTATCAGGATCCACCATCGTTCTTGTGTAAAATTGGTTGCATGCTGCAAATCTCGCTCTGATCCACAAAAGCGCGACTGCCTGTTTGGGTGACGACCTGAGGCAGACCTTTGCTAGTTTGACGTCAGGACTCTAGCGAACCACAATGGCTAAGCCAGCAAAAGCCCAAAAAACGAAAATTTTGCTGAGGGCCGCATATCTAGTGAAGGCGGGGTCGTCCAAGTATCTAAGCAACTATTCTAGTAATGTATTCTGTCTGTAGGTCCCAAAGTTGATGTTTCTCTTATGCGCATTAGATCTGTTTCAGCCAATACTCACAGTGGAAGAAAATGGAAAATTCCCACCTATTCAGTTTCGGGTGTATGCTTCTGCGTTTCCTGATTCATTAGGGAAATTGGTGAAGAAACTGGACGATTTCCAGTTAGCAGACCGTCGAGAGATTCAGGTACTTACTGCTAGGTAATAATCTTCGTAAAGACATACTTCTGCTGCTCCATAGGTTACTTTTAAGATTTATATACTATTTTGTGAGATTCTAGGTGAATATCAGCGTGCCGCTATCGACTCAAAGAAACGGGACTTTATACTTCTCGATTTTCTTATTACCTGCGAATTTCGATGAAGAGAATCCTTATTTGGTCTGCCCTTTCATATTGTGGATACATTTTTTAAAATGGCATAGTGTGTGGTATATGGGCCACTATGAGATGTCAAGTTAAATCCTTTCATAGAAACCGAAATGGAGCGCATATCAGAAAGTACTGATGTCCGCCTACAGAGAACCTGTTCGTACATTCAATCTAATGAAGGGAGAGGTCCAAGAGGTTTGCATTTGCTCACGTAGCTTTACGCTTATATACTTGAACCTTTTAAATTGTTAATCCTATTTTTCAGGCTCAACCACCCACCACTCACTTGCGGACTGTCGTATGCATCATGAGTTTGAAAGATTCTCCCAATCTGTGGATGAAAGAGTTGCCAGAAATTGTGTAAGTAGTACCGAGCTTTCTTGAACTTGGACAATTCGTGATAATTAACAATGGAAGCTCATTTTATTTCATCGAAATATTTCACTTTGTTGCCCAAAATTGACACGAACTGACAAGCTTGGATACTTGAATCTGTTAAATCCCAGCAACACTTACATTTGTTTGGTAATTTTCTAGACATGCAAGGTTTTTCTTCCTGGGGTAGTCGTGCGAAGGCTTTTTTAATTTGTCACCACAAAGAATTTTGTCGGAATTTACGGATCCGAAAAGTTTTTCTACCTTGTGACTGTACGTTAGTATTGCGATGCCAGCCGTTCTCATTAGTTTATTCTTATCTGGATTTCTGGATGAGAATTTCCAACACGTTTTTCTTGGGAAACTCTTTTGTTGGACGAGCTAGGCGTCCATCAATGTATGTTCATAGGATGTCTGGTATTCTTATTCTTCATTCTATAGTGGTCGCTCAATTTATAAGGCGAAGCCCGTAGTAAAGCTCGCCAGTTTTTTGAACGTTGATTTTTTGTGCCAGCTGTTGAACACCTTTGCAGTTGCTACGTTAAATCATAATGATAGTACGGGAGAAGAGGATATATAGAAATATACATACCAATAGAACTTTAGTGCGAAGCTTCTATAAGCCTGTTGGTGTCTTTACTCCTAAAGTACACTAAGAAACGAAAAATTACGGATAATTATCAAAGAACTGACATCGCATGCAAGGTGCAGCATCGTTTTTGAAAAGGAATTCATTGTAATGACAATGTAATGAAAATGTAATGAAAGGACAATAGCGCGTTCGTTCCCCACCGCAGACACCTGCGGTCCGGAGTTTTGCAAATATCTCAACATTATAGAAGTTATATTTCGCAACATGCTCTGCCGTTAAAAAAGAATAGGCAGTAAATAAAAAGGTTAAGGTTTGAATTCATTGTCTTCTAATTTTCAATCGCTATGATTTTGGGTGCTGTCTAGAATGGGAGGATATCAAAACTAAGAGGTAAACTTCGTAGGAATCCTAGAACTTATACAACTTCATTAAATACTGGCAGCAATACGATTGCAATGAGGGCGAGTTTTGTTTTTTTTCATATAGAATAGTTGTATATACGCCGAGAACATGCGAGGTGATTAGGAGAACATGGTGAATCCATAAAAAAAAGCTGTCGGCGTTCATCAATCTCTAAAGGATACGTCGTGCATTCAACTTAATCAAGCGTCGTTGGAGGTGATTGAATGCATATCTGGCCTTTTACAATGTCTCGCGGTGGCCTACCGATGTATCGAGCCATTGTTGCAGTCATCGTAGACAAGTCTGGTACGAATTTCCGACACTTGAGGAATGGAGGGCTTTGCAGGCCTGGTGCACGGGGATCCGTCCCATGTGTATTGTAGAACGCCTCTGACCACTGCGCTGCACGCGCCGTAGTGAATCCTAATGAGTCACGGAAATCGCAGAAATTTTCCCAATACGAAGGGAAAATCCAATATGTAGAATGGAAGTCGCACCAAGGAGGGCGCTGTTGTAAAAGAACCTTCGAAGGTGGCTGATATGGCACTTATTGGTTTCATAGCGAGCACGACAAGAAATTAGGCGTTGTCCGCTCCGCAGAACAGCGAAACTAGAAGTCGTCACGAGAGTGTTAAGAAGGTGGGAAATAATGCGCGTTTATATATGTATGTACATCCATACTTGTCATCTATCTTTTAAAGAAGATTATTACAGCTGACTCGTCCTGACATTTTATGCATATTCTGGTGCTTTTGAATTACTTCGTTTTCACAGTCTTAGCCTTTTTATTTACTGCCTACTATAATTTTTAACGGCAGGGTTCATGTGAAATGCAACTAAGATAACGCTGGGATATTGGCAAAACTCCGGACCACAGGTGTCTGCGGTGGGGAACGAACGCGCTATTGTCCTTCCCGGGGAGTAACGCGTTCACCACCACACCATGCGGGTCCTTCGTTTCGCCTGTCTCTCAGCTAGTTACTTCGTTTTGTTCAAGCATAACCCATTCCGATGGCATGTCCGCATCTTTGTCCGACTACATCTTAAGTATCTATAGTCTTCTGTCCTCATTAAAACACTGGTTGGGCGTTGTTTTCCGTGTAATCCTGAGATAGTTCTGCTGTGGTCTTCTGTTGTTGACCACAGGCAGTCGTCTTCTCTTATGAGGCGGTGAAAACTCTGCTGCGTTGCAACAGGCTCAGGACAGATGGATTCTAACGATTAGTCGAGCAACAGATACATGTTGATATAACAGGCGGGATTCCGGACCTGGATTATTACTAAACATAGAGGTTTTGGGCGAGTCGACTACTTTGACATCGTAATTACTGGCTTATGTTCTGGATATTAGTTCCACAAATTGCAGCTCCTTATTTCGATGGCAAGATGGCGTTTACCATCCAATCCTTTATGTTGCTGAGTTGATGAGTCGTGAAAAGGACCTTGTTCAGGTTTTCGTTTATTGTCTGTTAGGTTTTACGTTTTTACACTTGGCTATGCGCAAACCATTTTAATTTAGTAATTACTTCAACTTTTTTAGCTGGAGCCAAACACGACAGTTGCCAGTTTCCAAATAATATATCAACCTGTTTCTCTAGGGAAAATAAGATTCCATCGAATGATTACATCATCCCTCGCACAGCTCCTGGAACTAGGTTTCACTCAAAGGGATATCGAGGACGTGAGTTCTTCTACAATACTTCGGTTAACCCCTTTTGTGACATGTCATATGTTTAGGTAAAAGGAATATTCGGTGACACTAATCTTTATCTTCTTGGGGTGACTATTTTCGTCTCTGCCATTCATATTCTTTTTGATGTGCTTTCCTTCAAGAATGATATATCATTTTGGCGTTCTCGAAAGTCTATGGTTGGGCTGTCAACTAAGTACGTTTTTTTTCTGCTGTTGATATCCCAGTAGTGTTTCAGCGTAGGTTATTTATAACTCCTTGCAATTGTTACATTTTTGGATACTAACTGAAATCACCCGACGTCATTGTGTTCAGGGCGTTGTTGTGGAGGTGCTTTTCATACACAGTTATTTTTTTCTATCTGAAAGATCAAGATACAAGTCTCCTTGTCATTGTTCCTGCTGGTATTTCGGTGCTCATTGAGTTTTGGAAGCTGAAAAAGGCCTTTAAGGTTATTTCTTCTCTTGCTTCCCGATTTTCCGAATCATTTCTTTTTATTGATAACTTGAATGGTTTTCATTGTAGATCTCTTTCTCTTGGCGGCGAGGAGTAAAATTTGGAGCGCACACAGCTGAAGAGGCAAAAACAGACGCTTTCGACAACGAGGCAATGAAATATCTTATGTGGCTGATGACTCCGCTCTGTATTGGTGGTGCAGTATATAGGTAGGTAGGAACGGTGAATGACCTGCAAAAGTGCTATTTCAACTGCCTCTCGTGAAGCGCAATACCAAAGGTTTATTTGTTTCCATCTTACACTTTATCATTCTCCTCATCCGTCAACCTCTGACTGACGAATTGGAGGTAGAATTATTTGCGAAGTGTAAACCCTGAATACTGCACTAATAGCTTCCACTAGACATTGGAAATGGTCAAGTTTACTGCTTTTGATAACCAATAAATAAAAGGCAAAAGTTGAAAGTGTTTTCTCGTACTAATTAGTTTCCAATGCCGTAAAATTAATCCCGCTGATGGGTGTCTCCTGATGGCAGCGTTAGGTAGAAAACTAGTCGGGAGAAACACAAAGCTAGGTTCTTAGTGCAGTGTGTGATACGCGAGCCCCCGGAAGAGATAATCGTTCGATTTGATCCGGAGTCCAAATTTTGGGAATATCTGTGTATTGTATTCGACTTACAAGTGTTGCTCCTATATAATGACACCTCGGTGTGTTGTTTTTAAGCTTGATGTATGTGCCTCACAAGTCGTGGTACAGTTGGTTTGTCGAGTCTCTCGCCAACGGCGTTTATGCTTTCGGGTTTCTGTTTATGCTTCCACAGCTATTTGTCAATTACAAGTTGAAGAGCGTTGCCCACTTACCATGGCGAGCTTTCACTTACAAGGTTTTTCTTTCTTGCTTAATAGTTCTACTTTATGTCTTTACTTTACATTTGTAATAAATGTTGACTCTACTCTACAATCTTACATTATTCCTTAACTTAGGCGTTCAATACATTCATCGACGATCTGTTTGCGTTCATAATCGTCATGCCCACGTCTCATCGTGTTGCATGTTTCCGGTTCGTTTACGCTGTTGTTTTAGTTTTCTGGATTTTAATCACGCTCCACCACTTTTTACCGTTTAGGGACGACATCGTATTTATGGTCTATCTTTATCAGCGGTACCTGTATCCCGTTGACCATTCTCGAATTAATGAATTCGGAGAAACCGGAGATGTCGGACCGGTCGTTGAAAAGCAAGCTGATAAGATTTCTGATGACGGTGATTCTGAGAAAGTTAGAACTAGGAAGAAAGTTTCGAAGAAGATAGACTGAAGTTCATGTTTCGCATAGTTTCGATCACTTTTTATTTGTTTTTTGGTTGTATATGGTGTTTATGTGTCAATATGTTTATGTGTTATATGTGCATGATGTTTATGGGTCAGAGGTTCTTCTATTCATTATGCAAAGCCTTTGTCGGTGATGGTGTAGATTGCCAATGTAGCTTAAAATTTGCTGAGTGGTCATATCAAATCTATGCGCTACTTTCCGCCTTTAACTTGTTTCCACTTGTTTCAGGAGACGGAGACCACGGAAGACCGATTTTTCCTTTTTCTTTTTGTAATAAACGAGTTGAAGGTTTTTCGTTTTTTTGCTGTTTCGGTAGGAATCATGTTATTCCCATACTCTTACCCACCTGTTACGTAAATCACCATCCGTATATCACGTATGTAGAGCATACTATACCGATATCGTTCCAGCAGTAGTAACTCTCCAACGTTCTTGAGCCATCTGAATTTAAGACTCTACTGGTCTTATCGCGAACACTCGAAGACCTCGTAACGCACTGAGGATTTATTGCCGCTTTGAGTCTAAATTCTACAGCGATTGCATAAGTGAACAGAGGCTTACACTTATATACGTATTCAGTTTACGGAAACTATTGAACGTCAGCAGAATTCATGTTGGCTTCTGCTGTTCATCGAAATTTCCCAGCCAGCAATTACAATGGCTATAATGGGGAGACTACGTAGTGCACATGTCCCTGTAGTTGTCATGACAACGGCCCAACTCTGGACCATCGACGACCTTAGTGGAGCCGCTTGCTCATAACGCCCATATTTGGTATATCTTCTGTCTAGTCGTCGTTTGACAACGATCCATGATAGGAAGGAAGGCCTTTGCCTGGTCGCCATGCAGTGGTTGGTTGTGTCTAGCGTCCCCAGTCATGGATTCTGTCCAGATCAATTTTTTCACACATAAGGTGTGTACACTTGAGTTATAATGAGATTTTTCATCCAGTGATTACTAGTTTCAAGTATTTGTTCATAATTCCAACCAAAATTCTAATAAAGAGTTTGTAAAATATCCTGGAGCCAGATGTCTTTTATGTGTTGCAATTCTGCTTTTAAATTGAGAATCACGAATGTGAAGTTCGTTTCTGGAGAAAGTAATCCGTCTTCACATGTACTATGTGGATGTCGCCACTTGCATTCAGTTCGCTTGTTTGCATCCATCATATACGAAAGGATTTTGCATGCGGGTTGTTCTGCTGCTTGAAGATTTCTCGTCTTCTTTGTAAATGTCCGAAGTCTGTAAAGTCTTTTCCCCCTGGAACCATGAGATAGCGATGCTAGGTTGCTCCCATGTGGATTGAAGGGAATGAGCAGATTTCAGACAAATCTGGCACCAATTTCCCTACTCTTGAATAATGAAAGGTTTAGTGGACCAGTCGTTAGGTCGAAGCAGGGGTTAACCCCAATGAATGACACCATCGCCATTGCGCTACCCGCCCCCTCTTTCCAGATTATTGCGTTATATCTTCAATATATAACTAGTCACTTCCTGGATTCAAGTGTGTCGTTCACGCATATGTTACCGTACATTGTATACTGTCCATTAATTCGGTTAAAAGTCTACAAACACTAGTAAGCACATCTATGGTCGTCCAGAGGTGCCTTCATTATTAAAGAAGTAACCGATATTTACACTCCCGGAGAACTCGGTAAATTATCCATGAGTATGTTCAGCCATAATAGCAAAATCTGACAAACTGTATTAGGAAATTAGAACTATGTGGTCTTCAGCTTTCAGAGCCAATTCCAAACTTTTATTTAAGATAAGCTTCTTTGCTGTAGTTTATTTCGTCTATTCCACCAGTCCTCTAACTCACAACGGACGCGCGCGGCTTAGCGTAGCTCTCCGAATAGAATACGACCAATTTTCCGTCGGCTACGGACTTTCTGCTTTTTCGACGCTAAAAAATATTTTTTCGATAACTAGACGGCTTTAGGGGTTGTGAATATAACAGAATTGTAGAAGAGACTTTGCTATACCGATCTATGGATACGAATGATATCTATGCTGCTTACTATGTAACATGCTGCATTATGCAAACACATTGTTGTCAGCAGTTGGAGGTGGTTTGCACCCTCGATTGAGCCCTTTTGGTGTTTTTGTATCCTTACATCCTATGGAGGAGTCATAGTGATTAAAATGAAATAACAGTCAATTGCTAGTCAAATTACCCATGCATGAGCTTTTTCGAAAAAAAATTTTTTTGTAAATCATTTAAGCCATCGAATGAATATACAAAGAGCGGTAAATGGATACTTTAGTGTCCATACAGGGCACTATGGCCTAAATCATTTAGAACAGTAATCGATGAAGGATTTTGCGGCATTCTCCTTTTTTGATCTACACTCACTCATCTATTCTCTTCCAATGCTTAAGATGCTAATCGATTCGAAGTGATTCTCATAATATCGTGTCAAGTGTTGAAAAACTGGAGAAAATGTAGAAGTTACTACAAAGTCATTCTACTGTGAATCATTTCTTAGTAAGCTCACTTGACACGAAAACCTTAACGATTTCAATGTGTTCATGATGAGCATACATGGATTTGTTATTTTACTGTTGTTTGCAGTAGTTGACGTTTCTGTGGATTCTGCCTTCTTCAGAGTCTGGATAGGTTCAGTTGACTGTGATCTCGTCAGCTAAATACCTCCGTAAACTGGAAACAAAAAACGGGAAGCCTAAATTTCATCCGGAAAAGGATATGAAACAACTTCTTCACACGCTCACCTCCCGATATGAGCCGTCCATTGGGTATTTCATTTGAAGGCGAACCGTATAGAGCTGACATGGGTGGGTAAGGCACTATTCTTACGTTAAAATAGTCTGACTACGCGCTGAAATTTTCGATTTCTGTCTGAGGATGGTAACTTCTACATCAAAATCTCCATTATGTCTCTGTGTCCTATCCGGACCAAGCGGATTGTCTGGTTTAACTTTAAGTTTACCAACTAGATGTTCTTATATGCGGACACGCAGTGGCCTACCCGTTTCGCCAACGTATTCGTACCTGAACTCAGATACGAGAGCTCAGATAAACCCCACCCGAACTCATTCAATCACCGTCTCTACCGCTGTGGGGCCGTCGTAGACTGTTCGGCGATGTTTCAATCGCCGCTGCCGATTTCTCTAGTCGACTAAGCATTCGTGTTTGAGACCATTTGTTTCTACTACTTTTAACCAAAAGATAACAAGAGGTGGGCCATTTGGCTCTGTAGTGGCATGAATGCATTCATAGTTAAAGTTTAGGATGAAAATGTACAACTCCTTCTCAGCTTAAATGACTCTATTGCGTACTTTGAACACATAACACTCAATGCGCATTCGTTTCAATGGGGTAGTGCAAGAATAACAGCCGTTTTCAAGTTTGGACCATAAGATCATAGAAAATTTTGTTGATCGAAATAGAAAATTTTAGAATCTGCTGGTCTTTACCAAGAAAATACAGGCTTCCTTATCTCATCAGGTGAAACTCTGGCTATTTTGAACTTACAAAACGAATTTCCCTCCGCATTCGTTTAAAAATGAGCTTGTATTTTGGACGTGAGGGGATTGAACCAGCAAGAGGTTCTCCAGCAAAATACGTCACTTCGGCATCGTTGATTGGGCAGTCTGCATTCGCATCAAAGAATTTTTTAAAAAATTTAGTTTTCGACTTTTTTTTGAGGAATTTGATTTGAGGCGAGTTTTAAGCCAAAATATGCCGAATAAAGACAAAGTAAACTTTTAAGGCGAAAGAACAATGTTCCATCTATAAAACTGTAGGGCCTTCAACTTCTCAAATAGTTTACTGGTCTTCGAATTACCGTCAATGGTCAAAGAATCACGTAGGGCGTTATACGTTAGTAAATTGTCCAAATAGTAGTTGGCTGAAAATTTACTAATCGGTTATTTACTAGTTTTTTTTTCGAAAAAACCGTCTTCAGCTAATGATTGCACTGTATGCTCACCTTCTCAAGTAATGATGTCTGCCCCGTATTTCTCAGTAATCGAAAATGACAACGTCACTTCTTCCTCAGGGCGTTCGACTAGAAGATGTGGTTATGCAGCGGGAGTACTCGGTGGTCGCGCTTGCCTGGCATCCGTCGCAAACTCTCGTGATTGCCGCTTGGACTGACGGACTACTCGCTGCGCTGTCTCCGGAGAAGAGTGCAGGTGCGTGTAGGTTCTATTACTAAAATTCCATAGAAGGCTTCTTTGCTGACAGCGGAAACATCACTCATGAACTGTTCGACATTTTGCTTAATTTATACATTTTAAGTTAAGTTTACAATTATTTTATAAGACGTTCACATGTTTGAAGCTTGGGACAAGGTGAAATTTTAGCGAAGGACTTCAACAAGATCGTTTAATGGTGGTAGTACGAAAAACACTTGCAGAAAAATGCTCATCCTTCCTTAGATGAGGGGTATAGAGCCTGTTAGTCTCGATGGTGCACAAAGCATCCAGAGCTGTCCGAGAAGAGTTAAATGTGGAGTTGAAGTGAACATGTTAATGAAATGATTAACCACATAGCTATATCACGACTTTTTCAAAAATTCGCAATTTTTTCGTTTTTCTCTTTCGTGCTTCTAATTTTGTTGTCATCCAGAGCGGCTTGCTAATGCTATTCAATAGTACAACCGCAGTGATGCTGAGACTGCAAAATTTCAATACCAGGCCGGTCTGAACTGCACATACCTTTTCGAGGGTGTCACGAATTACTCATGGCACCACTGAGACCCTCATTCTGCTTTTCCCTCAGTCAGCCCTTTTATCATTGTGCTTGTATTTTTCATAATAGCCTGCCGTGGAAAGAAAATAATGAGCTGTAGATAAAAGTTATACATTGTGATTTCGGCTGTCCATTAAATTTTTTTGCGCTCAACGCTCTTTTAAAAGGCTTTGATCGAGATCACCTTCGTCATTCGATGTTCCTCTGCTCCAAATCTGACCTCTCGATATCTGACGTACGCCACTGCGTCTGTGCCTTCCAGATGATAGTGACTGTTTCATTCGCCGTACTTCAACATCAGAGGCACCACTCTCCGAGGTTAACTTAGCCCTGGCTACTCAACTGAGTTGAATTTGTACATGCTCAAGGGATATGTCAACGTAAATTCCCCACCAGCACTGCCATTTTGGCTGTTAAGCACGCTTAGAGCAGGCATACTTAATTACTTGATACTTAAATGCCCCATCCTCACTGGTTATGTGAACTCAACATAATCTCCATTTTTCGGAGACTTGCTGGTTAAGCTGTTGTGCTTTCATGGAATCCGGAAGTCGGCCTAGCCAAGGTCTTCTAAAGGTGTTCGCTATCACCGACAGTCGCAGACCTTGTGGATCAGAGGGAGGTTTGCCACCATGCGACTTCGATACCAGGACCATGGTGGATCCTGGCATTGGTTTACTCTTAGCTGGACTTTCTCATAGAAACGCCGGATTCCTTTTCAGCTTGGGAGACCCTGCCAGGAAGATGCATCCCCCGCCGTACATCGCAGCCCGATACCCAGGAACACCTCCCGACCACGATGAGGCGGTAAACCGTTGGAAGGTAAAGCAATTATGCATTGTACAATATGATTACTATTTCTGCATAAGAAGTCATAGTCCTGTATTGTCTTTGTTTTCTACTATTTGATGGACAATGTCCTAATGGGTGGACGGTAGTCATCCTACTTTTAGCAGAAGAAGATCACATTACTGTGACGTTGCTGCGCAACTTCTATGCTTGGCAAGCACAAAAAGTGACTTCGACTAATCATCTCCTTCAGAGAGAATTGCATGGCTTACTTCTGGATAACGATCCTGTGCATGGCAAGAATCCGAATTAATATAACGCCGTGCTCTAGAGATTCTTGTTGATGCACAGTGCTGGATGAAGGGATACAATCTTTTGCGGTGTCTCCATCACAGCCGAAGATAGATCGAATAGGACTCTTCACTTAATTGTTCTCGCACGCCTACATCTTACTCTAACAGGTTGTCTGTTGTCCCACAAAGCTAACTCGATGCACGAAAAGTTGCTCCGCTTCGGCCGGTAAAATCTGCTTCGCTCTTTTACCTGATCTGCTTACCTTTTCCCTTTGGATCACTACCTCTTCAAACAAATTCAGATCCATTTCATGGAAAATGACTTTGCTTCAAACACGATATCGAAAACACACAACCACCATGTCACATGCCTCTGTTTTCTATGCTAGATCGAATTATGCGATCGAATCCTGGTGAACTCTCTGAACTGAGGTGACCTACATTGACCAAGAGGTTCCCAGTCGGATCCAGTAAATGGGCCCATGTCTATTGTTCTAGAAAACGATCTGTGGGCTTCCTCTCGCGAAAATCATTGGAAGTGGGGAGATTCATTCGATAAGTGGGTGCTCGCTCTTCTTGATTTGGGAAAGAGGAAGTCCACTTGGCAGCTCTGACGCGTGGCAAGGATGGATTTAGCTTTTGCTGTGTGCTAACAATCCCGTAGACGATTGATACTTAGAGATCGACGTCTAAATCCGTGTGGTTGACTCATTTTTTGGCGCCTAATTTTCTAATTTTCTTATAGTCTCTCGAAAAACGAGTGGATATCCACTCACGCAGGTTGTTATGCCGACCCATATTTGAATGGCAATCCACTCATAGCGGTCTCTAAGTGTTAACTTAATTGCAATAACGAGAACAATAAGAAAAACGTGTCGAAGTCACTTCTTCCATTTAAAATTATTTTCTTATTATATGTGCGTTCGACACACGCAAACAGTTTAGACTTATTGGGAACAAACAGTGTTAAGAATCTTAAAAACACTTGACGTTTATCTTAATAAAGAAAGGATAAAGCTGTCGGCATTGATCAATCCCTGAGGGATGCTCCATGCATTCGACCTCATTAAGCATCGTTTAGAGGCGATTAAATGCGTATCAGGCCTATACAGTGACTCAAGGTGTCTTGTTGAGGTATCGAGCCAATGCTGCTATCCTCCTAGACAAGTCTGGTACCAACTTGCCGATCCTGGAGGGATGGAAAGCTTGGTGGGCCATAGGCGCGGAAATCGATTCCACGTGTGTGTTGCAGAGCACCTCTGACCACTGAGCCGCGCGCGCGCCAACGTTTATCTTACTCATGAATTTTACTATTTCTAATGTCTATAACATTTCGAAAATTTATTTACAACCTCTAACTATTCCAGAGTTCAATATAGAAGACTCGAAGAGCAAAGTCGTATTTTTGCATTGGAGTGGAGATGGCAGGACTCTTTTCGCTGTGCTCGATGTGAAACATTTTTAGCATTATATATAATAAACCAAGGGATTAAGTATAGCTTTTTCTTTTAGGATGGAAAGTGTAATATTTATGCTTTCGCAGGTAGAAACTCTGTGAAGAAACTTGCAGAGTACAACATCGTTGGAAATCCAACAGCAGCGTGTTTGAAAGTTAATAAGTTGGTTTCCAAAGAAATGTTATGGCAAATAATGAAACGTAAAGCATGTTGAATTAAGTAATTAAATTTTAAGCTACTGGACGGAAAGGCAAGCTGAGAACGACTACGACCATCTGTCAACCACTATAGCCAAACAGTTATCTACCGAGCAGGAGGTGCTCAAGCTTAAATTTTGTCTGTTTTTATGAAAAAAGAACTTTTAGATGAACACGGTGCAAAGAGCATCGGCCCTTGATTCAGCGCTTGTCGTTGGTACTGAGAGTGGAGTGCTTCATACTGTGGATCAAAATGGGAAAGGAACACGGTTATGTGAGGTACTTCCAAAAAAAGAGTCCATTATAATTGCTAAATGTATTTATTATACCGACGTCTTTTACACTTCAAAATAGCTCTTTGTGACATTATATATATATATATATATATATATATATATATATATATATAACGTTGATGTTCGGGTAGGATAAGTAGAGTTGTTAACACTTAGGTTCTGAAACTGGTTTCTCGCAAATTTGTGATAATCTTTTATCAACTAGAACGCTTAAAAAGATAAAAACGATAAAGCTGTGGGCGTTGACGGGTGATTGCTGGTGGCAGAGATCGATAGAATTAGCTGACAGACAGGCGAAACGAAGGACCCGCATTGTGTGGTGGTGAGCACGTTACTCTCCGGAAAGGACAATAGCGCCTTCGTTCCTCACCGCAGACACCTGCGGTCTCGAGTTTTGCAAATGTCTCAGCATAATAGTAATTATATTTCACAATATACCCGACGTTAAAAAGAGTAGGCAGTAAATAATAAGTTGAAGGTGTGGACGTTGATCAATTCTTGAGGGATGCCCCATGCACTCGACTTTATCAAGCATCGTTTGGAAGCGACTGAAAGCATATCTGGCCTCTACAATGACTGGCGGTGGCGTACCAATCTGTCGGGCTAGTGCTACTATCCTCCAAGACGAGTTTTATTACCAATTTGCCTACCTCCAGAGAGATGGAAGGCTCGGTAAGCCGGCAGTGCGGGGGTCGATCCCATGTATATTGCAGGGCGCCTCCGACCAGTGCGCCACAAGCGCTGCACTAAAGTGCTTAGGGATTTCAAAAAATGTTCAACTTGTAGAAATGCTTTGCCCTGTCTATTATAGAATAATTTTAATTTTTTACCACTGTTATTTAGCTTTCAAAATTGTTTGGAATTAAAATTTTGCAGAGAGATGAAAAAGAAATTTAAAAGCTTAAAGTAGCTGACGAAATCCCTTCAGCGGTAAACATTAGCAGCAGATCTGAAGATACCATCGCAAATATAAATATCTTTAATGAACGAAGTGCCGCTTACTCAATTGCTTTCATCTCCCGAATATGAGCCTTGAAGGAAAAAAGTGAGAAAAGTGCGATTTCTTTGCTCCATAAAATAAGAATTTTGTCATGGTGGAATTGGAGGTGTTATGTTGTTGGTGAGGAACTGCGGATTATAACGGCTTTTAAATTGAAAGTGGCCGAGGCCATCATTTTCTCACGCTGTGAGTGGAAGTGAACCTAAGTCGAACTCTAATTTTTGAAGTCTTCTTAAAAGCCAACTTTCATTAAACCTCGAAAGCAATAATTATTGATTTTCTATATGATTGAGCTGACACGAAGTTCGTGTAAAAAAAAGTTTTATTCGGCTATCGTTTCGGCGCCTTATTAAAATTTTAGTTTATCTCTTTCTTGTACAAGAATACCTCATTCAATTTGGCTGGTTCAATAGATTTTAAAACTATCAGTTTTCGTTCTATAATGTTCTCTAAGAAATTTAGTCACTAGATACTGGCCTCTGTGCCTAACATACCGTGACGTTTGGTCTCTTGCTCACCTTCCGTCATTAAGACTTATCTCATATTCGTTGCACCTGATCTTTTGTTGGCAACGTAATGTCAGATTTTGTGTCTTACTTGTCTCACCTCAGATTCTAGCCCCATCATCTTCATAGAGCGCTGAGTGATCCGTTATCGTGATTGTGTATGCCAAGGTGAGAAATCAAAGAAACACCCCTTGATCCATTTGCGTCTCAATTCACTACAATCCTGCTTTTGATCTGCGTTCAAATCCCAGACACATTCGTACCTCTACTATAGAAAGTCATCATTACCAGTCTTCACCTCAAAGTGAAGGAAGAATACAAAAATTGTTGAAAAATTTAACCATTCCCAGTTATTTCTCCATAGGGATTGTGCGGAATATTTTAGCTTGACTGTCGGATTGAATTCGTTGCTAGTTACCACGAGAAGAGCCTGTTGATAGTGATGACAAGCGACATGATGCTCTTCCACTTTGTCGTTATGCCCGATTCCACATATCATGAAAAGATGAAGGTGTGATATTGTTCAAGTGTTTATTTAAGATGATGTTAAGTCCTTAATGAAATCCTTTAGGTGAAGCTAAACGGCAAACCAAGCAATAGTGTGATTCATCTGAGGGAGAATATCCTTCTAATTTCTCATCAAGAACGAGATCTTAGAGTATGGGATCTCGAATCAGAAGAGAATGGAACAATTTCATTGCATTCATCCAAGGGATATGATGCTGATGAAGCTATCATTTGTGTGGACTACTGTAAGCGAAGAGGTAGGTTTATTATTAGAGGTGCCGGCATCATAAGACCGCACCTGTTCCCATCCTGATGATCAAGTAAACTACTGCAGCTCCTTTGCAATACTGTCAATGAATTAAGGAATCATTTTATTTGTTAGTTGTTAGGAAAGAACGCTGCCATTTTGGACCTTTCTCATAGTTAACGGCATAAAGTGATTGGTGAAACGCATTTATTAGCAGTCATAGGTACTAGTTTTCATTCAAGGAATGATATCGGTTGGAACGACAAAGGGAAAAGTGGCGAACTGGAAGCGTCGAGTGGGTGAGTTATCGATGGAGAATGCCTGGCGGCTTCAGAACGGCAACCAAATTGGAGGACAGGTAGGTGATCAAGTCGGATGTTCAACGGGGAAAAGCTAATTACATTCCTTTCTTATTTCTCAAAGTGTAGAACAGGGCACCTTATATAAGGGGGCGGTGGACACAAATTACATCAACATAGACTACATTAGTTGTGTTAAATTACAATTTTATTGCTTTACAGATAGCATCACTGGAGTGGTCGCCGGTTTACTCGGCGTTGGCCGTCTACTCAGACAATCAACTGACAATTCTACAAGACGAGAATACCATCGCATATTTGAGGAATAAGGTAAAAATGAATGTGTTCATCGAAAAGTCCCACATTAGAGCTCCAAGTGAGTTAAGGTCGCCGCCATCCAGAATGGTCCATCGTCTTTCACGCTTGTCAACTTTGAGACTGCCGTCAATCAGGATCTTAAACTCGATTTTTATGTGAAAGGCATCTGCTTGCAGGAGAAACAGCTTGTTGTTTGGAGCATTGGCACGGTAGGCAGACTTATTCATTAGATAGTCATCAACTTGGGCTGAATACCAAGGAAGAATTTTTAACTTTTAGTAGTTCTCTAGATCAAATTTGACACTTTCTTGGACTTGGAAGTGTTTTTTACGTAACGGAGATTTATGAAAAAGGTTGGGAATATCCATATTTTTCCAAGTAGTACGTAAAACCCTTTGCATTTTTCATTAGTAGGGCAGAAATCTTTTCACTTGGAACCAAACTTGTTTTGGCAGCATCACCACAAATCGTGTAATCATCAATGAACAGAACAGTATTCTCTTTTTGCAAAACTTCCGACCGCAGGTGTCTGCGTCGGGGAACGAACGCGCTGTCACCCTTTCTGGGGACTAGCGCATCCATCTCCACACAAGGCAGGTCCTTCGTTTAACGTCCTTCTCAGTTATTTTTCTATCGATCAGTGCCATCAGCAATCACCCGCCAATGGGATTGATCCAGGGATCTTAAATCGGCAGTGAACCCAGTTAAGCTGAGGCTGTTATTGAAAATCACGATGTGAACTTTTTTATTCACTGCCTTTTACACTCTTGCACGGCAGGGTATTATGTGGGATAAAAATGTAAAAGGTAGTAAGTAAAAAAGCGTAACATTATTAATTTCTATTTATTTCTATGGTGTTTCGCAACATTCATTGGCAGTGTGGCGGTTTAAATGTAATCTCAACGATGGACTTTCCTAAAATAACATTTTTGGCTGTTAATAAGCTATCCAAAGAAGACGCAACTATTATCTAAATCAATCTCAGTCTCAGTCTTTCGATTTAACATTTTTTAATATTGTCATCTAAATGGACAACTTTTGATTTACTACCTATTTCTTTTCATGGGAGGAGGCTATGTGAAATACAACCAAAATAATGCTGAGATATTTGCAAAGCTTGGATCCCACGCCAGATAGAACCACGACTACTCTTTTCGGGGACGCACGTGTTCCTCACTGCACCACCGAGGCTCTCGTTCTCTCTTTCTCTTAGCTAGTGTTTATCCTAACGGTGCCATCAGCAATCAGTCCTCAACAGGACCTATTTGGGGAGCACAAATCGGCATTGAGCCCAGTTAAGCTGAGCCATTTCATATTTAGCACTTTTCTTTTGAGGGAACTACATATTTATTCAAATTTTTTCTAATTATTAGCTCCATTATGATGTTCTTCTGCAATTTAGGTGATTTCCTTCACTGTAAAGTGTAAGAGAGTATTCGAATAAGGTGACATTAAGGTGACAACCTTCGATGTGCAGTCATCGCTAGCGACCATCCAATCGTCGTCATTCACCTGCAACGCGCTGGACGTTGTCATCTACCATCAAACCCTCTATTGTATTGAAGGCGATAAAATCAACGTCAGAACACTACAGGTGAAACTAATCGGTCACTTTTTAGAAAAAGTTTTTCCGACTTCTGCTGAGCCTTTTTCTAACCGTTGTGGAAGGTACGTCATAAACTACTTTGATGCAAAGTGAGGAGCCTTTCGTCGTGCACCGTGCAAGTCATAGAGAGCAGTACGATGAAATTAGAAGAAAGGTGTGGAACCCATGAAAGCTTCATAAAACATGAAGTGGTTGTTTTAAGCTGTCGTGTCTCCATTTTTTTTGTCAGATAGAATATTTAGCATAGATGCGCTCATGTTAGCGAGGTTCCTAATAGCTTTTGCTTAGGGTACGATTCGTCAAATACTCTCATTGCCTGAAATGGAAGGTGATCCTATCCAAATGCACTCGAATCGGGACTGGCTTGCTGTCGCAACTTCTACAGGATTTCTTAGGATCTACAACATCAGTGGCAAGTAAGAGTTTTTCATTCATGTTCAAATGGAATAATTATCATTGAAAAAAAAGAGCTGGCTTGGTAATGATTCAGCTAAGACGACCAAAATATTTCATTTTACAAGGTATCGAAGACCATTAGTTGCAAAAAAGACAATTTCTTGCAATTCAAGTCTAATTCTTCGTTATAAACTCCGTATTTTTTTATGAAAAAAAGTGTAAGTGAAAAACGGAGTTAAATAAAGTCTCTACTTTACTAGATGGGCTTACCTAAGATTACGCAGTTGAGTTTTTTTTAATAAAGGAGAACATCACTTGTATAAGTTTTATTACTAAGGACATTTGTTATCCAATCCATCTTTTCGGAGGACCATTTGAATCCATTATTCTTACTTTATGATGAGTTTTCAAATCTTCTCTTAAACAGATTGGCACATTTGCAGTAAATCTTTCCAAAGCACATTAAGTAGGGACAAAGTTAAAGACAGCATAGTCACGCTGTGAATATTGTCCACAAATCACTGACGATGACTGGCACTCATATGTGATGCGATGGGCGAGCTAGTTGGAAGTCGATGTTTCGTTCGCAAAAATCGGCCATGACTAGTCAAAGGATCACACCTGTATCACATGTCATTCCGTTGGTCGTCGAGTAACCTGAGAAGGGCGCCAGTAAATCTTCCATCTCTCCTTATCGCGTGCAAGAGCAGCCCAGTGGGTTCTGTTCGCTCTAAAGAATCGTTGAGCATCATACTTTCCTTTTGCGGTCTTCGTGAAGAACTCTGACCATCGGGTCGGAGATATTCATTCCGTTGGGCGTGAATGGAACATACGAATATAAACTTATAACTAAATCCTTTCCTCATGAACATGAAAAAACCGAGAAAATCATGAGCTAAGGATAGCGGGTGTAATTTTTCTAATGTAGGAAGGAGTCGAGCCACAAGCCATTTCTATACTCCACGCTGCATTTTTATTACTGAACTGCTTCCAACAATGAATCCAGTTTTAAGCATATTTGGTTCCAAACCGAAAGTCTTTTTAATAGCGGTTTTTGGTTTGCGTATTTTATGATTGATTTTCAGAGAAGCCAAGCAGGAGTATCATTCGAAATATATCGTCGAGGCTTTAGATGAGTTCCATAGATTTTCATCGATGAAAATGAACATCTCGGGCAATCGCATTGCCTGTACATACTATGCTGTAAGCTATTCTAGTCTCCTATTGCTTCCTTAATCATGAAATTCTAATTTTTTGATACTATTGAAATTCACTGGATATAAGTACAACTTCATATTTAAGTACAATTTTGGGTTTTTTAAAATTTCATGTCTATTAGGATTGCTGATCGTGTAGAAAAGTTATAACTAAAACGAGTGTCTTGCAGACGCCACTAAAGATTGGCGAACGCTTACTTGTGTGGGACGCTGAGGGTGACATCGTTGTGCACTTCTCATTCACACTGGGAATGACCGATCAGCAGCAGTACGAAGCTGAAGCAGAACTTGCCAGTTCGCAAGGTCGACCAGTTACTGCCGCAGCTAGGTTTGTGCTTATGACCTAGATGTTCGTTCAGTGCAAAAAAATCGGAAGTGGAACCACCTCTGTCTACCCATTGAAGAAATTAATATAAGATCGGTCACCTTGGGAAACATATGACGCTATCCGTTTACGGGTGATTGCTAGTACCACTATTAGGTAGCAAACTGACTGAAAGATTAAACAAGGGGCTCAGTGGAACACTGGGTAACACGTGAACCCCGAAAGGGTAGTCGCGAGTTCGATCTGGCCTGGCGTCGAAGTTCTGCAAACATTTCAGTCATAGTGGTTGTATTTCACACTACACCTTGCCGTGAAAAACATGTGTGGCGTCACGGTAAGGGGTGCCCTGCGCTACACACGAGGTTTTTGTTCTATGTCGCTGCGGACTTACCCAGCCCTTCATCCCCCAGGCTCGGCTAAGTTGGTACCAGATTGGTCGTTGAGATTATGATAGTAGCACTGACTTCATGAATTGTTAGGTTCCAAAAATCCTTATATAGGCCAAATATGCATTCAGTTATCTCTAACCGTGTCTTATAAAGGACGAATGCTTAGCACATCCCTAGGGATTTATCAAGGTCGCTTTATCTTTTATTCTTTGTAGCACTTTTACAGGGCACTAGTTTACTTAGTTGAATTTCCCTAAAATGTCAGGCTTCTTCTCAGCTTGTTGCTCTCTACTCTTTAGAATGTTTTGGAAAGAAAGTAACCTCGAGAAGCTCCTCGGACTATGCTATGGTACAGGTCCACCGGTTGGCTGTACTTGCTCATAGAAATTTGGAATTTTTTAAGAATTTTTTTAACAGTTTTAACAACCCTACTAGGAGATCAATTTGCCCCGCAGATTGCAATTGACCGGCTAAGAACAGCAGTGAGCCAACATGACGCGATAAGCCGTAAAAGGAAAGGCAAATGGGATTTTTGTGAACGGAAGAAAATCCGCAGGAAAGGAAATACACGGCTGAAAATACCGATTGAAAGGGTGGGTAAATTTTTTTCGACCAAAACACTGTTTCCGGACGGTAAGTTTGCTTTCCGGCCACCTTCTATAGAAGAACCACTTGTCGTATCCGACTTTCTCAACAGCAGAACAAACTAGGTGTTTGTCGACGTTTAGCTACTACTTACCTGCTTATTTAGATAATTGGACGGCCGATTCTCACTGGTTGTGCGTGCTCCAGCATAATCTCCATTTTTCGGAGCTTTGCTTTCAGTCTGGCTAAAGTCTACCCCAGGTCGTTACCATCACAGGCAGTCGCTTCCTTTGTGGATCAGAGCGAAATTTGCCACCATGCCACTTTGATACCAGGGTGGTGGTGGATCCTGGTATCGCTTTACTCTCAGCTAAGCTTCTTGGTAGAAATGCCTGACTCCTTCTCAGCTCAGCAGACCCTGTCGTGGGGTTGAATAATCCTCTCGTTGCACATCACATCGCAGTCCAACATCCAGGAACACCTCCCAGCTACGATGAGACGGTAAACCATTGGGAGGTGTTCAGCTAATAAGCTAAAGAAATCCGTTAGATAAATCTCTAAGCAAGAAAAAATTCAGTCCAACGGTAGGACTTTCAGTGTTTCATAGATATAAACCTTTTTTAAGCAAGCCGTTTTCACTTTGAGGATTAAGATAAGGATCAGAACTGCTACTGTATGTGGAAGCTCTTTTAAAAGCCTGGTCTTAAATAAAAAAACAACCACATCTCTAAACTCAGGAAAATGGAACGGGAGCAGACGAGATTCCGACTGCCGATGCACGAGCCAGGTCCAGTCTTTTGGGATGAAACCGATGACCGATTTCTGGTCTGCCATGCTCAAGCCGCTTCTCAGCACTCGGTAAACTGACAGTTCCATATTTTCTATGGCATGTGAACGATTCCTTTGCAGTTAGTATTCGATTTCTCCACTTTCTCCACTTGCACTTCCTCCTTTTCTGGTTGTTAACTTTAAGCTACTGGCATATGAAAAAGTAATGTGGACAGTATTGATATTTGGAAATTAGGGATAAGTTTAGTACTAAAATGATTTATAAAACCACTACCTTACGTTCGTTCATTAACTTTGATCGTTTTCTTTGTCAAAAAAACAACAAAGTGGAAAAGGGTACGGAAATTTCACAAATTTTACTAAAACTAATGTATTGTAACACTTGAAAGTTTATTTGAAATCACAAAGGATGAACGAACGAGGATAGTCAACGTTGCCGTCAATAAATATGTGCGTTTTTAGGTGAATGATATGATGTTGACGATGTTCGTGACGTCCGAGCACGGTATTCAACTGCAGGATCTCATTCACAAGTCACACGCTTCCGATCTATTCATTGGCGTGTCGGTGCCGCATTTGTACTTCACTAAGAAAGTACTGTCAACATACGACAGCACACCAAGTGCTAAGATAACTTCTAACTTACAGATGGAATTCGACGAAGAAGAAGTTCGTGGTGAGAAGACGATTGGTCGATTTTTAATTGCTAGAACGCTTCGGGAATTTTCTGGAGTCGAGAGTTGTGACAGCGCTACGAGGAAAGGAATGATGGATTTCTGTTACTACCTCACTATCGGCGACATGGACGAAGCCTTCAAAGCGATTCGATTCATCAAGAGGTATTAGCAGAATCGATACTAACATAGCATCACCCACTTCGCCAACTCGCATTGTACAAAGCTATGGGCTATTGTGGACGTTCTCACTTTTCAATCACTCAATTCGTGAAATCTAGAGATCAAAGTCGAGCTTGTTTCAAGCATAATATTGGCATTTGGTTGTTTATGAAACATTCCCATTTTTCGCGAAATGGCAAGATCTCTAAAGAACACAGTAGAGATGTGAAATATAATCACAATGATGCTGGTTTAATTTCCCAAGTTTGAGGTTCTGAAAAAGCGAAACCGTCAAAACGTCAGCCATTGTATGCCAATAAATTCTATGATATAAATCCTGTGCATTCTTATCGAAGAAACACAGTGAATTATCAATGAATGTCGAGGTTAATAGAAGTAGGTCCTTGGAGATCCTGAAATATTTGCAAAACTCAGAACCTAGGTGTAATTGGACTCGACGCCGATTTCCGCTGCTCAGATCATTCCGTGGATGGACGATTACTGATGACGCCATTAGGGTGAAAAAAAACCGGCTGAGAGGAAGACAAGCGAAGGGGATTGATAGTGCGGTAAGTAACACGTGAACCCCGGAAAGTGTAATCGTGAGTTCGAATCTGGCCAAGGGCTTGAGTTTTTCAAATATCCCAGCATCATTGTGGTTGTACTTCACATAACAACTGCCACGAAAAAAATAATGGGCGGCAGATAACAAGTTCTACAATGGGATGGTTGCAGTGAACGAGTGTGGGAGCACATGGCGTCGATGAGTGTGCGGAGCGGCCGACTGGACGTGGCGGCTGTCTGCCTCGGAAGGATGCGCGACGCGCGTGGTGCACGAGCGCTGCGCCGGGCGCGGGACGCCGGCAGCGACAAACTTCAGCGCGCCGCGCTCGCAGTTGAGCTCGGCATGCTGGTGGGTGCTCTTGTTTCGTCTGTTCTCCCAAAAGTCGGGCAGTCAAACAACACTGGCAGTTGCCCTATGAACACAACTTTCCCTTAGAACTTCCTCTACAATAACTCCCACGACCGACTCATTGATCAACTAATTCTTTGTATTTTTATTGAGCAAACGCGAGCTGTTATTATTCTTTATTCACGAATAAGCTGACGTTTCGGCGGATTTCGCCTTCCTCAGAACCTGGTAAGGTCAAGTTGATAACAATCTATTCGACCAGACACCTCCATAACCAAACAAAGAAACTCCAAACCAAGATTTCAATCACTTTGAACACAGCTTTGCACACTCACCGCTTTCTATGAGTCTTCCACTAAGTATGCCGCGTGAAGACCAACCACATAGAAATCACATGGAAGCATAATGTGCCCCTCCCATCAGAATAACAGTCTTATATACTGTCCAATATCACGCGTGATAATGAGGCATTCTTCCCTGCCGTTCATTTCGGATTTCTAGAATTAATCCAGAACGCCTCGAGCGTTTTTCGCGCTTGTGTTCTTGATTCCTGTGCGAGGTTCGTGAGAGTTACCGTTTGGAGGCCTAGGATTTTACCTACACCTATCCTGAGCTACAGTTTCGTAGTCATTAGAAATGGCTATTTGTCGTGCCAAGTTCCGCGACTCCTCCGTCTGCTGTCTTGTTGTGCACACGTTGGTTGCTGTTCGAAACATGTTTCTTATAAACGCCTTTTTCGTGTGAGAGGGGTGAGAGGAGAGGTAATGAACCAAGATGTTTTTACTACTTGGTTTTCAGTACCACTTTGTAATGTAGCCATTTTCTGACAGGTGAATTTGGACGTTCAGGAATGGAAGCCATTTTTTCGGCTTTTCTCGGGTGAACTTGATATGCTCTGACTGTGCATTTAACATCTCGAAACATTTGTCCATTTCCTCTTGTGTTGAGCAAAAGACAAAACAGTCGTCTACATATCTACAGTAGAGTAGCGGCCCGAGATCAGTCACCGGTGCTTCCAATTTAGACATAAATGCAAGGCTTAGAGCCAGTCGTTGTCCCATTGCCAACCCTTTTATTTGAGCGTAGTACTTTCAGGACCATCTGAAGATTGAGCAGCTCAGGCATTCTTTTAAGAGTGCCATCAACTGCTCTATCTCGAAGCCATACATGTTTATTTCTCCTTCGTGTTGTATAAGGAGTTCGAATATGGCTTACATTGCGGAGTTATCCGAAACGTCTGTATAAAGGGCGGTAACGTCGAAGGACTCCATCACGTACGCGCTGCTGGGCTGCGCAGTAGGTAGACGATCCGGAAACATCTGGGTATTCTTAAGATCGGCTGGAATGTATTTCAGCAGCTGGTTAAATATTAGGGTTAAAAACCATGTTATCCTATCTGTTGGCCTGTCTACGCAGCTAGTGATAGTCTATCTTTAAACAATAATGGATTGGTAGACTCAAGATCATCGCTGGATACTAACTTATGAGATTTTATAAGCAAGTACAAGACGGGGCATGTTGGTAAATCAATTTTTAGTTGAGAGATAACTGATGGTTTTAAACCAGCAGCCCTTGCCATTTAGGCCCATTCGTGGTTCAATTTTCGGTATTTGCTTTTAAATTCCTTCTCAGATGATGGGCGATAAAGTGAAGCATCTTTAAGATGCTTTTTCGCTATCTCAGCATCTAACTGATGGGGAATTACAACGAACTCTCCACCCTTATCACTAACCGATAGTCTTATGTTTTTCAGCATTATCAGCTCTCGCACCTCTCGCATACCACGTTTTTGCACTTCAGTGAGGTTTGAGCTGTATCTTTTCGCTCGATAGGGATTAAGGACTTTGAGAGTTTCATTCGTAAACATCCGAAATTTAACATCAACTTCATTATTGGGCTCTTGTTGTTTAAAGAACGGCGAAGGAAATGGTGCTATTGGTAGGGCCCCACTTGGTGTTGTTCGCACCTATTTAGTGCTTCATCCCTAGCTTTTTTGCGGAGTCTATCTTAAAGTTCATGTAAACCACATGCGAGCCTACGAAAGGTTATCTTAGAAATGGGTTCAGATGGTGAGAAACTCGGTCCCAATTCTAATAACGAGCGCGCACCATCAAGAAGAGCCGCGCCTCCTATCACGGTTAGCCTTGAATTTTCTTGCACATTACCTATCCTATTGTGATTTGTTTGATGTTCCTTAGCGATATTTTTGTGCGCTATTGAAGCTGTGTTATGCGATCTACTCAAAAGTTTTTCGAATTTTCCCCGCAAAGTTACTTTAGTGTTAGACCTAATAGAGTTACAAATCAACACTGACCTGCCCACTATTCTCCTCCAGAGGCGGTCCTCCAAATACTGAGCGCAAAAGTGTTCCTTCGTCTTCTGAGTTTCATTCTGTGTGCAAAACTGTGTTCACTGTGATTGAAATCTTGGTTTAGAGTTTCCTTGTTTGGTTATGGAGGTGTCTGGCCGAATAGATTGCTATCAACTTGACCTTTCCAGGCTCTAAGGAAGGTGAAATCCGCTGAAACGGCAGCTTATTCGTGAACAAAGAATAATAACACATCGCGTTTGCTCAACAAAAATACTAAGAATTCCTGTACAATACTTATAGGCACAAAGTAGTCCTGTTAGCATGAGGATCTAGAGGTATTGGTGATTACGCTATGAAATATGTAGCGCTAAAAGTAAGGCAGTGGCTTGTGCTTCTGATTAGTTGGAACTAGAGTTATTATGCTGATAAATGTCGAATCCATCTGTAAAAGGATGAAAGATAAAGCTTCCGTCGCTGATCATACCCTGAAAGGTGTGCTGTGCATTCGACTTGGTCAAACAGTAAAGGAATGATTAAATGCATTTTTGGCCGGTACACTGACTTGAGCTGACTTACCAGTCTACCAGGCCAGTGCTGCTATCCTCCTAGACAAAGGTGATAGTAATTTGCTGTCCTCGTTGGGATGGCGGACTAACTTTATGATGTGGAAGTGGACTAATGACATAGTATATATTTCAAGCCTTCTCTGAACACTGCGCTACACGTGCCTTTTGTACATGTGTAAGGATATAAATGAGTATTTATGCAGCGGCTAGAGGTGGTCTGCAATGCATGTTGACCTGTTAACCTACCTCTAGACTTGACAAATTGCTTCCTAGAAGTCAGAGGAACAATAATTTGATACATCGGTAGTCTACGGGCGTTACTTTGTGGTCAAACAGCGTTCTACGATACTTAATGAACACGAATCTCTAAGGGATACCATCAACACCGAGCTACTTATCCTTTATCCCTTAGGAATGCAATAGGTTTTTTGCTCTTTGTGAGTCTGTGGTTATCGCTGTATGGTTTGTGTGATTTCAGGATGAAGCCGAGGCAGTATACATCAGCGAAGGTCGATACGACATGGTAAACAAAATTCATCAGTTTCAAAATGCATGGAACCAGGTGTGAAGCCCGCCATATGATGTTTTCGTTTTCAGTTTCTTATTCTTTTAGGCGTTTGAAGTCGCCTCTCGATTCGATCGTATTCATCTCAGAAATACTCACTATAATTATGCGAAATATCTCGAAAGATCTGGTGCCATCGAGCAGGCCATTGAAAAGTATGCTCTTTCATATTTTCGGAATTGTAGATCATCATGAAAACGCTTTGCAGCTTCGAAAGATCTAGAACGCATCATTTCGAAGTTCCAAGAATGTTCGCTGATAATCCGAAGATACTCGAGAGTTATGTTAGACGAAAGAGAGAACCGTGAGTAGTAGTCCATTTCTTCACCGTCTTTTCCGACCTTGACGCTGCAGTGTTTCAGTGAACTTCACGCATGGTGGGCTCGTTATCTGGAAAGCATTGGTGAATTAGATGGTGCAATTGTTTTCTACACTGCCGCCAAGGATATATTGTCACTTGTGAGGATTAAATGTTCACAAGGATTACTTGACGAGGTGGGAGAAGACATAATTTCATCACTAAATGATTTTAACATCTAGAGGCAAAAGAATTTGCCACATTTACAAGTGCAAGACTAGCTGTGCATCCCACCATTGTGGCTTATTGTTCTGTTACATTTTATTTCTATGGCTCACCTCCAAAATATTGTATAGATCCCGGTCATTCTTCTGCTCGTTCCGTTACCTTAAATCTGCAATCCATGAAACCTTTTGAATTTTTACGTGTGATCGGCTGCCATTTGGGGATTTTGTCTTCTTTATGAATGTTGTTCTTGGCAAGCGGTATTGACTCCTCATGAAATCCTATGGTTGCGCTATAGGAGTATTCCCAGGTCTCTCTCTGGGCTGTGTGTATTTAGGGAGCTCTTCCCAGATAAGTCTATTTTCTGACGATTTCGAACCAAATGGAGGAGAGTGGTTGTGCCGTGCGGCATTTAACTCGTGACCACGACCTATTACACGATATGCTTAACCACTATTTCTTCACACCTACCCAATCAGCTCAACTTTATATCATTATAAGAAATATGCTGCACAATTTGACTCTATCGCTCATGCTATTTCGATAATACTGGACCAATTCTCAAATCAAATAAGGTCATTGAAGCTTGCTGCACTTGTACTCGCTCTTCGATTATTCGGTATTCTCTAATTCTTCGACAACGGACTTAATTTCGTCACACTGGTGAAGTGGTTCCATTTTTCAACATGTTGCATTTGAGAATCCTGAGACTTTCCTTAGAAGTAAATGTGTATTGGTGTAATATCAGTGCCCTAAATATATAACAAGTCAAAGTGGGTCTTCTAAAATGGCCTTCAGAAGAGGTGGGAAAAGCTGCATAGGATTACTGGATATTTGTTATCCGAGTAGTATAAATTCACTACTGCGGAGTGCCATGCATCTGCAGTAATTCTATCATCACGCAGACGGCATAGCAGGCCGTCGCGTGGATTCTGCAACAATATTCTACTTTGGGAAACGATTTGTATGAAGCTTAACTGCCTCTCGTAACATACACTATTTATGGAAAAAGAACGATCTTGAATAAAGAAGACATTTTTTTCAGGAGCGTTTGTTATAGAAAATTCTCGAGAGAGCAAAGAAGAGTACCGTGATTGTAGGAGAAAGAAAACTATTCTTACATGTGAGAAACGTGGCTGTACATTGTTAAGCTGAAGAGTATTATCGTAATTGTTGCAGAGAAAATCGAAGAAGACATCATTTTTCTTGCGTTGATTCTGAGAAAACATAGGATTCTTGTCGAACCCTTTATGGCAAGTATAACGATAATATGGAACAAATAGGCTGCTAATTCTTTGGTGAGGTGAAAAAAAATTAGAGCCGTATCATTTGAAGAAAAATACGAGTAGAACTTTTTTCATCTTTTCCAACTATTTGGTGAGAACAGCAGTGGTTTTCTCCCATATTCCTAAAGAACTATCGAATAGAAGCATACTGTGTGGAGATTTTTAAAGCAGACAGAACATAACCCTGCCACGAGTTTACCCTGAAGTTCACTCAACCAAAGAAGATGACCGAGATGATGATACCACTTTTTTATACCTATTTTTCTTTTTTCTATTTCTATTTCTTTTCTCTCTTTAGAAGTTGCCTTTGTCGTATAAACCCGTTGCAGAGGACTGAACATATCATTTTCTTATGGAATGTCACATGCGAAGTATATTCTTAAAAGTTCGTTAAAAAGTATTTAAAAAATCTCAGAGACTTTTCGGTAGGTTCTACTTTCTTACCAACTGCCTCTATTCTTCCAGTAAGAAGTTTTTGATTGGTTATTACTGCTAATAGCACTAAGGCGTAAAGAGTAAAGTTTACGGTGTTCACCAGTCGCTTACGGATGCATTCGAATCCATTCGTAGTATCGTAGAGTTGGTTGAATGCGTATTTGGCCCATATAGTGATTGATTTGCTGGAGCTCGCAGATCTGTCAAGTCAGTGTTTTCGTCCTCTTAACCATGATTGCTACCAAAGCGTCGCATTATTACTATCGTTGTTTTACTGTTATTGTTAATTTTGTTGTCAACGGTTATCGCCGTTTGATTCTAAACTAGCTTTGTGATATTTCCAGGCATGTTCCATTGCTCTTGATACCAACGATCGTGCAGCTTGCTACCACCTAGCACGGATCTATGAAGTACAAGAGGACTACTCTAAGGCGGTTGACTTCTATACGAAAGCGCACGCATACAATAGCTCTATTCGATTAGTTAAGGTGATGTTTGTCAATTTCAACAAAGTGCTTGATGTAGTTGTTTTTCTCTATTCCGTATTCTGTCGGTGTTCTCAAAAATGATACTATTTAGGAACATGGCATGCGAGATCTTCTGGCGAATCTCTGTCTTCTCGCAGGCGGAAGTGAGATCGTTGAAGCTGCGAGATATTTCGAGGATATCCCCGGATACGCGCATCAAGCTGTGATGCTTTACCATAAGGTTGGCCATCGAACATAGTTACTTCTACTGCAGGTAGACCAACTAGAAATAAAGGACAAGAATCTGGTGCGGACACTGAAATCACATTGTGTGTGAATCTGAACCCAAAAGAGTATAAAAATGCTGGTCACTCTTGACCCACTAAATTTACTAAATATTTAGTGCTATCTAGGCTAAAAGTAGGATGGAGGAACTTGATTAGAGTTAGAACTGAATGCTAAAGATTCAGGCCGTAAAAAATTGAAGTTGTTTCCTTTGAAACTGGGAAACAAGGTAATATTTATAAAGCTGAACCACTCAACCCCACTGAGCGATTCCGAGCGACATTAAAATAGATCGAAGGTTTTCTCTTAACGCTACAAATAAGGCAACTCTTCGGTGAACTTTTTTCTACAACAAGTGAACAAATCCTGATTTTACTTGAATCCTAATGTTCAAGGCTGGGATGGTCGGTAGAGCACTTGACTTAGCGTTTCGTGCAGAGCAGTTCAGTGCTCTCGATCTCGTAACCAAGGACCTTAATGCGGACTGCGACCCTAATGTACTTAAAGTGAGAACCGACCGATATTTTCTTTTCTTCGAATTTTCTGTCGTGTATTACAAACAAATGAATAGAATAGAACAAACATGTACTCGGAAAAGTTAGTACAGCCTTCACCGTCAGAAAATTTTCTTAAGTAGGACGTTATCCATATTTATTAAAGTTTATATGCTTTATCAGACTTTGTTTATGCATATCTTTTCTTTGTTACGAATAATAGCAGGACTAGTTTTCATGTAAACCCGCTTTTAGCGGGCCGCAGAGTTTTTCGCATTTAATCAGAATTATGAGAAGGCTGTTGAACTTCTCTGCATGGCCAAAGAGGTGGGCGTTTGTGCACCTGACCTATGGTGTTCTTTATTTTCACATCTTTTCGCTTATTATTTTGAAAGTGACAACAATTTTGAAGTTCAACGCTGCTATCGAAATGTGTCGAACGCGGAACGTGCGGTTAACAGACAAAGTGGCTGAGTTGATGACACCTACTAAAGGTCTGTCGCCATCGTTTTGATGACTCAGCTTGAACAGATCAGTTTACTTTAACAGAAGTCTTTGTAATCACATAGTTCGACCGCTAAAAAGAGTGTTAAAGAATGAGACCATTCATAGCAATTAAACCCGTGCCGTATTGGGATTATTTACTACTCAATTTATACGGTGGGGCGGATAGCACACTAGTAGCGATGTCCGTCATTATAAGCATGGTACTAGTTCGATTCCACTCCGGACTAACAAAGTCTCTTTTCACTTCGGGGTCGGGAAATTAGTACCGGATTTGTCTGGGAAAAAAATCACTCTCAGCAATCCAACTGGGAACGCTCTAGCCCGGCTATCTCAGGACTCCAAGAAGAACTGCTCGACTAGCATTCTAAGACATTCAAGATGAAATGAAAATCCTCAAGCAGCAACCGATGCCACAAGTAAAGTTGAAAGATCTTCGTGGACAATTGATGCGAGGAAACGGATTGAATGTGCGAAATGCTGGTATCCGCACAGTAGATGTGAAAACGGATCACGTAGAATAAAATTTGAAAAAATTCTTTATATGGGTAGAATGTGAGTCTCCAGAAATGAATTAGTGCATTCGAATCCCACTTGAGGCTACGAGTTTTGCTACTTCTCGGTGGGGTATAATGCGAAATACAACCACAACAATGGTGGGATATTTGCATAACTCCGGACCGCAGGGGCCTGCGGTGGGGAACGAGCGCTCTATTACCCTTTCCGGGGGCTAACGCTGGCCGATAGTACTAGCTGAGAAACAGGCGAAACAAAGGACCCGCATGGTGTGGTGGTGAACGCGTTAGCCCCCGGAAAGGGTAACAGCGCGTTCGTTCCCTACCGCAGGCACCTGCGTGCCGGGGTTTTGCAAATATTTCAGCATCCTTGTTGTTGTATTTCGCGTTTCACATCTCTAAGGAGCCCTACACTTTCTGCATTTCATTCATTTCCTCGCATCCATCATCCACGAAAGTCTTCGAACATTTTGAGCATAAGTTCGCCCGTTGCTTGAAGAATTTCCCGTCTTCGTCACGAGCGCCGTCGAATGCTAGTTAAATCGTTAATCCTGGATTCCTGAGATATTTGAGCTAGAGCGTTTCCACGTGGATTGCGGAGTGTGAACTTTTCCCGGAAAGTTCTGCTAGAATTTGCCTACTCCGGATGATCGGCTTGGTGAGTCTGAGGCGAGGCCGAACGGACACGATGCTTGTGGTGATGGGCCTCACTACTACTGCGCTACCCACTCTTACTCTTTGACCCTACTCCTAATTAATATACTACGAAACACCACGAAGATTTTCCGGCGTGTCTGTTCAATATTAGTTAACTAATCTCATGACAAATTATTTACCAGAGGTGTGGTGAAAAGTGTCCTGAAGTGGGCACGGTCGCTAGTTGGAACCTTCACCTAAGGCTAACCAAACCTGACATCCCTCCAGAGTCGTCGGATTGATATTAAGCTTGTTTGGCAAAAGAACCACTGTTTGGTACATCAATAGCTCTCTGTAAGTCATTGTGTAGCCCAAATATGAATTCAATCACATTTACCATACTACGAATGGAGTTGGATGCACCGCGTGTTCCAAAGAGATTAATAAAAGCCGAGCGCCCTATCCTTTGTCTTTGCAGCTTTGTGAACTACTGTCTTATTATATTATGGTATGGATAAGATCAAAAAATAAATGCTAAAGAATGGTTATATAGACACAACTAAAGATTTCTTTATTCGTAGAAGCGTCCACTTTTGCTTTCAGCTTTGATGGAGGATGAGTTGTTGCTGTGTTACTGGGTGAAAATGTGAATTATTCGTAAATCGATGCTGTTGAAACTTGATTAGAATTTGCACTTGAGAAGGTGGTTTCCCGCAATTCTTCAAATCTTTTAGCTGCAAAGCGAAGACTAGAGCACAAGTTTTAATAAAGACATATTCGAATCGAAATACATCAATAGCATCAATAGCTCTCTGTAAGTCATTGTTAGTCGCTCAGACACTTGTAGAGAAGAAACGCTTGAAAAAGTTAGGATGGCGCACGAACTAATCAAGTTTAGAATCGGCTCCTAACGAAACTGAACGAAAGCGATTACTCGAGAACATAGCCGAACTTGGAGTGCAACAGGGCAACTATCATTTCGCTGCAAAGAAGTACACTCAAGCCGGCGATAAGCTTCAGGCAATACTTTATTTGTGTGATTATATTGAATTAGACGTAAGCGCATGTAATGCCAACGACAACTGCATGGAAAATACTGCTAAGGATGATGAATAAACGAAAATCTGAAACTTATGGTTGGTTTCAAGAAAGCTTCCAAACACAGAAAAGCCAAAACACAAAGCAGGATTAAGGCTTCACCTCTGAGGTATCACGATATCTTGAAACGTGTATCTTCAATCTAACTTTGCTCAATCTCAGGAGTTGTTGAAATTCCATAGATCTGAGAGAAGCCAGATTTTGCCTAGCGATTTGTTTTAAGTCTTCTGTAGCTCCTATCTAACACTAAAATTCTGGTTCAGAAAGATTTAAATGTTGGCCGGGGTCTCATCTTCCGCACTGGAACTGGGTCTTACTTATTTAAACGTTGACGTATTAGTCAATCTTGAATAGCAAAAGCTGTGATTTCATTTCGTGGAATAAGCCGAGTTTTAGGACAAGTGCTAGGTTGGGAGCAAGGTCCTACTACAAAATTATACCAGTGGAAAGTTTTCATTTTTATTTTTATTTTATACGTCTCGTCTATATGTTTGATGTTCGTACTCAAGCACTTCTCACATTCGATTCGTTTCCTGTCAGTCATTATCCACAAAACTCTTCCAATTTTTACGTGTGGCTTCGGTTGCTGCTTGAGGATTTTAATTTCATCATTACTGTTATAGAATGCTGGTCGAGACGACTCTCCCTGAAGTCTTGAGATAGCAGGCTAAGGTGTTCCCAATTGGATTGCAGGAAGTGATTTTTTTTCGGACATGTGCTGTACCAGTACCCCGACCCCGGAGGGTTGAGAGGGTTGGTGAGCCTTGGGCTGCATCCAACCAACACCGTGCTCGTCATGATCAGTGTCATTACAACAGTAAAATCCAACCCTTATTGTAGAATTACATTCTATTTAATTTAAATCGAATTAGCTTCTGTCTCAAGGCATATTCATTGCAAATCCATAGACCCTAAATTCATTATGCTTTGTAATTCCATGTAGTACCATACGACCGCTTAAGAAGTAATTATAATTCCTCTAGATGAGTGTCTTAGTTTCTTTGAAACAAACTCTAAAGTGGAATTATTTAAGTAGATCTGTTTCTAATTACCCGTTATGACGACCGGATAGCACAGTGGTAGTGATATCTGTCATCACGAGCATGGTGCTAGTTCGATTCCACTTCAGGCCAACCAACCCTCTCATCGCTTCGGAGTCGGGAAATTGGTACCGGATTTGTCTGGGAAAAAATCATTCTCAGCAATCCAATTGGGAACGCTCCAGCCTGGCTAACTCAGGACTCCAGGAAGAACTGCTCGACTGGCATTCTCCGACATTCAAGATGGAATGAAAATCCTCAAGCGGCGGCCGGAGCCACACATTAAAGTTGGAGGATCTTCGTGGACCATCGATGCGAGAAAACGAATCTAATGAGAGAAGTACTGGGATCTGCACAGTGGATGTGAAGACGGCCCAAATAAAAATAAAAAAAATACCTGTTCTGACGTAAAACTCCGGGCGTATTTTAGCCAATTCTAGGCGATGCGCGCCCTCCTAAAATCCGGCGATACTCAGAAAATAGTGTTCTTTGCTAATACTGCTAGAAACAAAGACATCTACATCTTAGCAGCAAATTACCTACAGGTTAGTGATACTTTCCTACCTAGATCCATATTTCATAGTGTTTTTTTCTTGATTGGATTAGATTCAGGTTCACCACGCGTTGTTTTATCTTCAGTGTTTAACTATGAACATTTATAGACAACGGAATGGCAAGGAAATGCTCAAATCATTCGTGATATTGAGACGTTTTATTCAAAAGCACATTCTCACATTCATCTAGCCAGTTTCTACAAGTCTTGTGCATTTGTAAGTCATCCTACACTATTGCCAACAGCTTGCCTAATTCGATAGAACACCAGACTTATCAGAAGAACAACGACGTTCCTCACCTTTCACAGATGACTTTGCAGATGGAGGTCGAAACGTTCAACGACTTCTCAAAAGCTGCTGAAGCGCTTGAGCACGCTCAACGAATTGCAGAACGAGGAATTCAGGAGCAGTCGTCCAGCGACTGTTCCACTTCCGTCGTTGCTTCCCTCAAAGAACTAAAAGACGAGATTTCTGGTCACTTGTCACAGTTGGCCAAGTTTGAGAAAATCAAAGAGTCAGTTCCAAAATTCGGCTGCCTCATAACAGATACTTACAACTCACTTTGTGCAATATTTCAGAGAGTGACTAAGTTAATGGATTGATCCTTGCAGTTTTTCTGACAAGTTCATTTCAGACTCTATGCTAACGACGAAAACGAGGCAGTGCTGCAACTTCAGAATCTCGTGGAGAATTCAACGGAAGACTCCATTATTCGGCCAAGCCACATCTACGGTCTGCTGATCGCGCACCACGCGGGGAAGCAAAATTATAGGATGGTTTGTGAACAGGTTCTAGTAGCGTCTCTTTCTTCTTTCAGTGATGAAAAGAAAGATGAACGACTTCATGTCATTTTGAAAAATCGCGTTGCTTGTAGCCGACAAGAAAGAGCAATCGGAGATGAGGGTGGTCGTAAACTGGCTGACACATTTTTTTTGAATACGTTGTTTTTAACGTTCTATCAAACTTTTCCATTATGTACATAATTACAAACTATGTACATAATGTACATAATTTTTAGGGGTTTTACTTAAGCAAGCTTTTTCTTCCTCAAATCCTTTTTAGTAAGAATACTAACTGTGTGTATCTTCTTGGATTGTTATGCTAACACGAGGCTGATAAATGGATTTATTTGGCTAAGACTGTGGACCATCGACTCCGACCATCGGCTCTGACGAAGACGTCGAGACGTTGGCCCGAATAAATTTATTTCTGAGCTTTGCGTTAGCTTAATAATCAAAGAATGTATTGTTTAATACAACCGAGGTTGAATGATCGTCAGGTTGAAAATTATTGCTTTGCTACTATTTGATTTCTCACATGTAGTATCGCCTTTCAGCACATTCTAAGTCAGAGCTTAGCTCTACGTTTCAAAGTACATTTCTTTCTAAATTCGGTATCATTACGATTGTTGAATGGAGCGCTGTACTGTTAAATTCGGTCAACATCATTATTTGAAATTCCGTCCTTTATGCACCACTTCCATTCTTCAAAACCCGAATAATCAACCATGAAAAAAAGAAGCACACGAAAATGGATAATATGTGTCCTAAAATGGCATCATTTAGCTTCGAGCATAAAGATTTTTCTCCTCATTAGTTACCGAAAGTCACTATGAAGAACATTCTATGATACTGCTTTGACATTATATGTTCACAGCTTCGATTAACTCAACAGTCAACGCGTCCTGAGACGACTTAGTCATAGAAATTAATTAGTGCCCTAAACGCTGTGAATTAGTTCTAAATGAACCGCTGAGTAACCTGTCCTTTGAAAGATTCTATGTTTGTTGGATAATCGCTTTTCAGGCATATCGTTGCATAATACAACTGCAGAAGGTTCAAAGGAATTTGGATGTTTCTACAATTATTGATCCAGAAGTTTTAAACAAGGTGTGGAAGCTCTATCGTTTTGAAATAAATACGGAATATCTTTTCAATATTCCATTGAGAGTAGTAACAAGTAAAAGTAAGAAAATGTTATGTTGACGAAAATAGTGGTTCACCATTGAGCTGGGACCTTAGATATGATTTTGGTTTGAGTTACTGAAACTAGCTGGTAATCATGAAAATTATATTAGTTGCAAGGATAAAGGATAAAGCTCTCGGCGTTGATACTTGAGGGGTGCGCTATGCATTCGACTTTATTTTGACATCGTTAGAGGTGATTGAATACATATCTGGTCTATATAATAACTCGCTGTGGTCCACCGATGTATCGAGTCGGTACATCTATTTTCCCAGACAAGTATGGTACCAATTTGCTTACCCCAGAGGAATGGAAGACTTGGTGAGTCTGTGGCGCGGGATCAATCCTACGTGTATTGCACGGCGTCTCCAACCACTGACACAACCACTTACACAACGCTCTTTATAGTAATAATAGCAGTACAATTTTAACGAGCGGCGGTATCCAGAGAAGTAAGAAATACAAGCGTCGAGGTGAAGATGCGGGCTGTACGAGCATTAGTTGAGCGAACTAATCGGTATGACTCAGTATGCTCCTTATATTCATTTTGTGATGGGTGGAATTTTAATAGAAGGAACTACAGGTAATGCTCTAAAGGAGATTATGGAAATTGTCTCATTAGGAATAGTATGTTAGAGCTATTTGCACAAGAATGCAATACAATAGCTCATATCCTGAAAGCAATTCAGTAGCTCACACAAGAAGTAAATGTGCCAATGATGCAGTAGCTTATGCAAAAAGTTCTTTAGAGAGGCAAATTCTGGAAAGTGCACATAGGTGACGGCTGCTCATTCAGTACTCGAACTGTCGAACAAAGAGGAATAGTTCTTACAAAGAAGTTACAGAATTTCCTTCCAACCAGCTACGAAGTGCATGAGTTGGTCGCTATGAAACAATTTGCAAAATGGACAATGATAAATGTGATTGCCAGCTAACACTTTTAATGTAGGAAACATACCGTAATATAGAAAGTAGGAACTGTTTAGGGAATAGTTACGATAGCTGTACTCTTCCAATAGGCGACGAGTTCCCTAATTATTGTCAAACATCAAGCGACTCTGAAGTCTGTTTGATCTAGAGATAGAGCAAATGGGATGATAGGATTTTCTTTATCCGTGTTTAATTTGTTTTTTGTTTGAAAAGCATAAAATTGTTTAGATTAATCAGTAAATATCTCTGAATTCATCTCAGGTCTGCGACGAGCTGGGTGTGCCACGAGTCACCGTCCATAACCAGGAAGCAGATTCTGACAACGAAGTGAAAGGAGTGGAATTCAGTCATTCAATGAAGAAGAGAGAATCACTGTTCCAGTCGTCTCCATAGAAAAGGTGACAGTTTCTAACTATGACCTCATTCCATAACTGGTAGAAGATGTGAAATGTGGTGGTGTGCCACCCACAAGCGCGAATTTTCCCAACTACGATAAGGTTTATGGTCCATATCTCATTGTCTATTCGGTTGTTACAGGTCAAGCAAGTTTACCAGACTATGTAACCAATCAAGGGACATGTCTTCTTGTATTTATATAGCATGTATTCAAGTAATAAACTTCCACTGTCAGCGCATCAGGTGATTTTCGAGGCGCTTGGATTACGTTTTCCAGCACTCTAATAATTTAAAAAAGCATTGCACTTTCGGTCATTTCTTTTCCCATAACAAATTCCTTCCAGGAATGAAGCTTACTATTTCGTGTTCCTTTATTGTATTTTCGTTTTCATATTATTTCCAGCGTTTTGGTAACTGCAGCTGAAATTTGTATCTTTCCATTGAAGCCCTTCCAAAGCAACAACGACCACACACGCTGTGTTTGAAAACCAATAGTAAAGCTTTACATCTAGTTTTTATAGTAGTTCTTTGGTAAACGACTCATAACTTCGCAGCGCTAAGAGTAGGAGTCAGTGAGCCTCTTTGGAGTTGGACAAAAGAAAAAGTCAAATCTGTTTATTAACGATGGAATTTTAACCACTCATGAGCACCAGGAGAATTCGTAACTTTTGTAAAGGTTTCAAAGCCTCATTCTTAGTATCTGAAAACAAATGCGTTTTGAAAAGTAAGATGATGTAGGTTTTGTGTTCATTTTAAGCATGAAGCAACTAAGTTGCAAACTGAATAAGGTAAGGAGACCTGTGAAGGAATAAGGAATTTTTAAGTTTCGAGATGACACCATCCGGGTCCTTCGTTTTGCCTGTCTCTCAGCTAGTTCTATCGATCTTTTGCCATCAGCAATCACCCGTGGTGTGGTGGTGAAGTGCGCTACTCCCCGGTAAGGACAATAGCGCGTTCGTTCCCCACTGCATACACCTGCGGCCCGGAGTTTTGCAAATATCTCAGCATCATTGAGGTTATATTTCACAATGTATACACTGCCGTTAAAAAGAATAGGCAGTAAATAATACGTTAAATATCAAAGACACAATTGTTACTCGGATAGCATGAAAACGCTATCAGCATTCTCGAATATGCTGAGGTGGTACTACAGCTATAACACTTATATGAGTGGCAGGGAAATCACGTGTCTCGGACATCGTCGTCAGTAGAAGATGTGGACGCCAAGGTGACAGAAAACGTGTGAATCAATCACGCAACGGGTCCCACTGTTAACTAGGATCAGTTAATCACAGAGGCCTTACGAGATGTCATGCGTAGAAGACAGAAGAACACAGATTCAAAAAATAAAAATTTCTACATGAATACTGCGGAGTGAAAAATGTGTTCCTCTTAATGTGCCATGGCTAAGCAAGACAATTCTGGCACGCGAAAGAAACGAGTGATAACTTTATTGCCGTTTGTTCGAAACGCGTTACTACCAGCGAATGACGAGTGATAAAAAGTGAAAAGGTCTGGGCGTTGATCGATTCTTGAGGGACACATCACGCATCAGACTTCATAAAGCATCGTAGAGATGAATGAATGCATATCCGACCTTCAAAATGACTTGCGGTGGCCTACCGATGTATCTAGTCAGTGCGATCATCCTTCCAGAGCAGCCTGATACCAATTTGTCGAACCGGAGTGGTTGAAGGCTTGGTGAGCCCGAGACGCTGTGTCGAACCAACGACTTCACCTTTATTGAAGTGCATCTCTATCCAATGCGATACTCACGCCCACGAAATCAGATTGTGTTGTCAACGAGTAGTACAAACTACGAGTGTAAAATTACGAAATGTACGAATACCTATTAAGCAATTCCACAGTTTTCACTTCCTCGTCTCAATTATCACGTTGCTATCTTCACTAGCAGTTAATGTGACCTGTCGTAAATCCTGAAGGACTGTGGTGAGCGGTATGGTTATTAAGTGATTAGCTAACGACTACGGTATTAATCCGCCTACGATATCGGGATTATTGCTGGCAACGTACATTAAAAACCACATCTGAACCACTGGAGCAATCGGTCTTTGAGGTGATCTTTTTTTCGGCAACTGGTACGAGTTTTATAATGGTTGGCTGTTCTCTCTGAATAAAAAATGTTGAAAGCCCAAGCACTCCAGGGATCAAAACAACTTTACCTGTGTAGTTGGCCGATTAGGAAACAAAGCAGTCGGAAGAGTGCTATTACCTTTCTCAAGCGGCACTTGGTGAACATAAAATAAAAGATTCATCAACAATGTGGCAGAGCCTGAGCTATTTTTCATTAATCATTTAGAATTCATTTCACCCAATAAAAAAAGAATAAAGTTTTCTGCGTTGCTCAATCCCTGAGGGATGCGCCATGCATTCGACTTGATTAAGCATCGTTTGGAGGTGATTGAATGCACATCTGGCCTTTGAAATGAATGACTCGTGGTGGACTACCGATGTATCGAGCCAGTGCTGCTATCCTCCCAGACAAGCCTGGTACCAATTTGCCGACCCTGGAGGTATGGAAGGCTTGGTGGGCCATGGGCACAGAGACCGATTCCACGTGTGTGCTGCAGGCCCCTCCGACCACTACGCCACGTACGCCCTTAAAAAATGCGAAAGAAAATAAACATTTAACCCACTAGGTATTAAAGCGTCAATGTAAAGCGTCTACCTC